TGTCCCTTTTTCCCCCCTCTTGAGAAGACGTAACTTTGACTGTTCTCTGTGCCGCCTTCCGTCTCCCCGCCGCCACGATCGTACGCCGTCCAACTGTGTGGCTTCTCGGGCTAAAACGGATAAAAGCACTTTGGCAGCTAATGTTTCACTCAGCTCCCATTCGCAAGAAATATTTTCTCCCACCTCAAGGGGCATAGTTATGTAAGTGGAAGTTATGTTACAGCATTTTCGGGGAGGGGCATCCCAGGAAAGCGAAAACAACACGTTTGGGGGCATCAATACTGGTGTCAAACTCTTCCCGCCCATCCATTATGTGGAGTTTTACATACGTGTTTGTGTCATTGCATTGAATTTACTTACTGATTTCTAATTAACTCGTCGCTGGCGTCCCGTTGGTGGTGCGTTTCACATGGAAGCGAGTGTTGAACCTACACGCGCCTCTCTGGGAGATGCGTTGCCCGGGAGCAGAACTCAAGCGGCAGTGGGGCAATGTGCTGTGTGCATTGCCAAAAAGCCGGCGGACTGACGTTTTTTTTGACTTTTTTTCGGTTGCCAGAGTCACATCCTCAAACCCGCGAGTAAAGTTGTGATCATGGATCTGTCCAATTAACTTCCATCCCAGACTCCACGGGGGGGATGACCGCGAGGTGAAAGAGTCAATTCAATTGACATTTTGAATTTCCAGTAGCTTAGTTTGTAGCAGTGACGCACGTCTGTTTTCCTCTTTACCTTTTTGTGTTTAGGACTTTTCTGCAGCCTTGACTGTGCCGTTTCCAAAGGTCTGTTCGTACTTTGAACCCTTCATTTAACGGAAGACTAAATGCTCATGAATTTTCCTTAATGTGAAATTGAAAGAGTCCCATTTAGCAACTGAATGGGCGAATTAGAGCAGAAGAAAAAAGGCTTTCAGCCTGACGTAAATGAAAGACGGATAACATTCTGCTATTGTCACCTTAACGCGACGTATCGCCAGCAATCCCTTTCCCTCCGTCTGTGTTCTCCCTTTTGTTACAGATCTGCACATCAGAGACACTGTGATGCTTTATCCTTCCGGCACGAAGAGGAAGGACCTTTTACATGTTTTTTTGGGGGGGGGGTGGGGGGGGGTCCACGTCCTCTCGGCCTCGGGCCTCGCTGTAGTCACTGCCCTTAAAACAGAGTCAAGTCAAATCTATTTGTGCCTTTTGTAAAAAAAATCTAAATTGGCAGCCTCACAAATGTGAAAGGAAACGTGTGTTTTGAATGAACCAACGGCCTCCTGTGACCGAGCGGCGTGCGCCCGCGTAGGACAGCCGGCGACTCCGGCACAAGTCGTGCATGAAAGAAAAATAAGAACTAAACAGAAGAAAAAGGGCCCCAAGAGTCGGCAATCGCGAACGGGCTGGAATTGAAAACCTTGGCTAAATGATTGCGCTAATGTTCCTTTTGTGAATGCCATTAAAATTGGCTTCTTTAATTTTGGGACACTGATTAGCAGCTTTCACCTGTAAGTCCGGAGCCATTTTGAAAACTCAACCTGCAGTGGCATTTATGAGATTACAAGAGTGCTTTGGAACTTAGTTGTTCCCACTTATCCTGCTTTGGTACCCAGCGGGCTGTGACACTGTGCACGCTCCCACACACACACACACACACACACACACACACACACGTTCCCATGCAAATGTTAAAGGCGGCATCGACCGACTCACTGTGCATCTGCTTGATAGATACGGGCGCAAACAAAGATTTTCTCTTAACAAAGACGAGGCATTTCAGCCGATGGTTTGAAAGGAAGGTGTTGTTATGGGAAAAAATATATTTTTGTCAATTAAGTAATCCAGAGATTTTTATAAGGTTGCACAGACTCTTGGTCTTACAATAATAACGACATCTTTATCAAATATTTAGTGCTGAATTCATATCAGGAAGAGTAAGCCAGGGATGACCTCGCAGCCTTTCCTTTGCCCTCCCTCACACACACACACACACCGTCCATGCACAACGAAGAAACCCCAGAGACGTGGACCCGAGGCCACGGTGCTTAGTGCAATGGGATGTTGTGAGTGTGAGTCTTGTGAGTCCAGCTGTCTCCAGAGTTCTGAAGTCCATTAATTACGAGGCAATTGGAAGGTCTGATGGGAGCATTAAATGTGCACAATTCCAATTGTCTTTCCTCCGTTTTTTTTTTTTTTCCCCCCACACATTTGTAGTGTCCTGCTTTTAAGATTCCGGATCTTTGTTACATTACACTACATCACATGTCATTTAGCTGACGCTTTTATTCAAAGCGACTTACAATAAGTGCATTCAACCATCAGGATACGAACCCAGAAGAACAAGAAACAAGAAAGTGCAATTTCCTCAAATAAGCCAATTTATTGATATGAGATGATGGAATGAAGCCTTCACTATGTACAACGTGCTTGGCGGCGCCACGCGATTGTTTTTCAGTTTTCTCTCTTTTTTCAACAAATACATATATTTTTATATATATATAAGAGATTTTAGCTCATCAAGACTATCAGAAAGACTTTTGAGCCAACGAGGTTGGCAAAAACTACTCGACTTAATGATGTCATAATCCTCAAGTAAAGTAAAAACCTCATTGTGACACAAAAGCCTTTCTTCTCACACTAAACCAATATTCTGCACATTCCTCGAGCTTTCCTCAGATCTGAGGGAAGAACCGGTGAGTGCCTGAGCAGGAACACGTCTGCCCGTCCTCGCCACAGAGGAAAGGGAGATACGCTGCTGAGAGGATCTGAAATCCTCTCTGCAAGTTTTTATAGAAATATATATTGAAGTTTTTTTCATTCGGATATTTGCGTTTTCCCTTACAGACCACGCGGTAACCCACCAAAGATTGCTGTTCATTGCCTCTCCGTACGCGTCTGCGCTGTTGAGCCCCGACTGCCCCCGTGCGACGCACCCGGCAGACCGCTTAAAACCTTCCAGAAAAAGCAGCACAAAAAAACAAGGGGGAAAATTTGCTCAACGTTTAATAAGTGGGCGAAGAGAGAGCTGCAATTAAATTGAGGTATGAAAGGCTTAGACGCCGTCATCCCAGACAACCAGCCTAATCCTACACCGGGTTGTTGTGTTTGCAAATAGCATGCTTTGCACAGCAGGTCTTGTTTTATAATTACTTCAGATATTTCACCGAGCTTTATGGCTGTCCTTGGATTTGACATCCACCCACAGGGCAGAAAACCCGATCGATATACCTCTCTGCACTGAAGTAACTTAACCGAAACAAAAGCGTCTCCTTGTTAGAGCTCGTGGCTCTGTGAGTACTTGGCAGGGGATTAACACTTCTTGGCAGTAAAGTAGAAATTTGAAAATTGACAAAAATTTGAGGAAAAAAAAAATTGAACTCCAGGAGATTATCGTTTTGCCAAAAAAAGTAGATGTGGATGCTTGAGTGGGTCAAAAGTCCCTGCAGATTGCTGCAAAATCTCTCTCGATCTCTGAGCCGTTACAGCTGCTACTTTAGTGAAAATAAGTATTGCAACACTTTGAAGAACAAAAATGAACGACGGCGAAATACATTTTCTACACCGCCGCAAACTCGATTCCATTAAACAGCATTTCACTCCGGTGTAAGATGCTGTTTTATGAAAAGGAGCGATCAATATCAGGAATATATAAATGTGGATTTCTTCTATTTTGATTGTCTCATATGCTCTGCATACCGGAGCAACTTCGCCGCGCTTCAGAGCACTTTGCCACTTGACTCTGTTCTGCGTCGGGTACTTGGTCAGGAACCGACAGCTTATCATCCGCCAGGTTGGGGCAGGCTCCTCGGTGAGCTAATGGAGTGTTGGAAGGTTAATTTACTACCATACGAATCCCATCAATAAGCAATTAAGTGGCGTGGAAACACAGAGCCACCCCGACCAGCAAAGCAACCACGTCCCCACACAGCCCCCACCTTAAATCAATTCATTTCCCTCTGCGTGTCTCTTTTAAACCTCCTTGATGGATTTAAGTGACACATGAAAAAGGACTTTCTGGTTGCCTCAACGTGTTCTCCTCAAAGCGTGACACATGGATTCAGAATTTTGAATCTCATAAGAGGCTTCTTCTCTCAACTCACACGGTTTGTTTCACCCAAACCTCCCAAACAGAGCTTGGGGGCCAATTGGAGAATTCAAAATGTGAAGGTAAATAAATCGTCGGACTATTCAAAAAGGCATGAAAGGCCTCACAAGGGGAATTCATGTAGATGCGTAGAAAACAAACTCTGCATCTAAGGCTTTTGAAAAGGGGCCTTTGATACTCAGCGGTCCTCATTCAAAATTCAAGAGGTCCTCGTGCAGCTGCCCGTCATCTGCTGCAGTGTCGTCACTTGACAGCGTCCTTGTTGATATTTTTCCCCCCCCCCGAAAAGATCCACAACATGGTGTCGGGAGTGTGCGCCGTTGGTGTTTAAGTTACCATGCGGGGACTCGGCTAGGACTGCATGTTGAGCAGCTGATTTTCCGAGGGATGTGTGAGATCTTCCGTTCATTACTTCCTTCTCCTCCCGGAGCTCCTGTGATGCTGTGAATGTTTTTTTCTCCTTTTCCACTGCCGGGGAAACGCTCGCTGGAATCCCGAGCGAGATTCAGACGGCGGGTTTGTCATATGATATGTATGAGATTTTCTACCTTTTTTATCGGCCTCATCCAACTCACGGGATCCCCGGGGAGCGCCGAACATGTTGTTCTGACCCATTCAGTTACCTTCTCAGGTGGAGATTCTCTCAGCAGGTTCTTGGGTCGGATAGACAAAGCAGAGGCCTGCACATTAGAGTCTGTTTCAATTTTAACATCCGGGCACGGCAGCATCTTTCTGCAACCGACACCCCGAGACGTTTTAGCACCAAATAACCCCACGGATTGAACTGGGCAGAGGAGATCTGGTGGTTTTCCAACAGTTTAAGAATACCCCGTGCATTTATTTTTATTTTTTTTTAATCAATCAAATGTGTTCGGGGGTGCCATTGATTCACAAAGCTTTCTTCCTGTCCTCCACAGCGCCTCCAAACAACATATCAGTGGTGGCAGAAAACACTCCGGCCCCGTTCAGTCGATACCAAGCGCAGAATTTCACTCTCGTCTGCACTGCGAAAGGAGGAAAACCAGCGCCGTCGGTGAGTTGCTTCAGATGAGACGCCCTGCAGCCGCTCCATGAGGGAGCTGCCTTTTACAGCGGATAGATCGCCGTTGTTCACGGGGAAGAGAAACGCCGTTGCATGTTGCTAACAAACACTCAGAGTTGTGATGTTTTTAATATTTCAGCGAAAACAGGATTTCTAAAGTTGCATACCAACAGCACAATCCTTGATCTCACAGCTTCCCTCAGACATCCAGTGTCACTTGAGAAAAGATGAGGCTTTTTGTGTTACTTACCACACAGTCATTGGCCTCGAAAAGTAAATAAAGTAAATTAACTATGGAAATGTGAATGTTACATGGATGTGTGAAGATTTTATAAATTTGAAAAACGATCAAATGTCACCCATTTCTGTCCATTGAGCATGTTGCCATCTCAGTGCTCCCTTTTCACCAAATAGGAATTATTGAACAGGATTCAGCGAGTTGGCACGCAGACATTTGACCAGAAGCAAAGGGACTTTGCTAATTGATCTTTTTTTTTCTCAGAAGCCTATTTTACCGGATGCTAAAGTTTCCATTTCCAAATAGAAAAAACATCATGGTTGGACCCTCCAAAAAAAAGTTTGGTAAACGTGAAGTGAAAAAGCCAGCAACAAAATAAGAACATCTACAATATGTAACTCCACGATAACGGTTGGCCACAACATTGTTTGACCCAACCTCCACCACTGCCCTCTCAAATGACTATTACTCGTTTCTGAGCATTTGCGACGCAGTCCGTGGAGACCACATTGCGCAAAAAGCATCATTTAGTTAATAGCTGCGTCATTCGCTGCGTCCCCGTTGTTAAGTTCTTTACAGGTTGACCGGTGATTGATCACCGGCGCTAATTCAGTCACACAATGTGCTCATTAGAAAAGGTATCAGACGGAGGGAAACGGACACATTAGTGTTATTGACGGTCGCACGCTCGGGCTAATGAATCGAATCGCGGTGACACACGGCGGCGGCAATGATGGCGCGCGGAATTGCCCCGTCCCGCACCGTCCACGTGCAAGCGAACAGACGCTTCCTCACGTCAACCTTCCTTGGAGTGGGAAAAACAAGGTGTCGCTTGTTGTGTTTGGCCTGAGACGCTGGCTGTTTGTCGTCCCCCCCCCCCCCTACGGGGTCATTAATCATCGTCCGCGGGTGTATGGTAATGGACTCCGGGGGCCCCGGAGCGTGTACCCATCGCTTGCAATTATGAGCCCGGTGAGAGGTGAATACAAGGTGAATGTGATTTCCGTCTGCGAGGTACTTCCTGGCCGATGGTGTGATGAGTGAAGTCGCCCCTCCACCGCCTCCACCCCCCTGTTGTGATTCACAAGGAGCCTTAAGCCATTAAAGCACAGCGTTGCCGGATCCTCGGTCCCAAAGCTTAATGGAGGAAAAGAGACCCTGAAAGGGTTTCGGCTGGTCAGTAAGCCGAGGCTGCCCGCGTGTCAGCGGCCGTGTCACACTGCTGATGAACTCAGCGGGAAAACAATCCAGGCCACTGACTTCAGATAAAAACTCAAATACCGCAGCCGATACATGAAGGCCGTTTCCATCGACAGCAGCATCATACAACTTTGGTTTTGAATAACTTTCCTTGAAGGTATTTACTATTTGACTGAATCTTGCTAAAAGAAGTTGCCTGTTTTAAAGGCTAAACCACCTCAAGTGTAAATTCAGTGTTGGATTTAAAAACAGACATTTAAGGTTTAGATGTAAAACTTCTTAATTGTAGGCTAGTTGAAATTTTTGCAGCAATATGACAAATGAACGCTAGGTGATGCAACCCATTCGAGTATCATTAAAAAGCAGATTTTCTGGTTTTGATATTTACCACAACTACAATTGATTACATTTCAGTGTTATACTATACGCCTTATCTGAAGATATTTATATCAATTTGAGGCTGTTAAGCGGGAAGTGTTGTTGACACACAGCTCACAGAGTCAGTAAACGAGACATTAATGGATAAAACAGAGAACATAAATGGGAAATAATGAGCTTTGTGGATTGCTACATGATAAACCTACATGATGAACCATTATCATTCTAAATGATTCAGTTCAGCAGACAGACTAAACCATTTTGAAACCAAATGCATTCATTGGAGCCCCTGAACAAGGGTCCGTTTCAAGAAGCGGATTCAGTTTGTTGACCCCGAGCTGAGGGAAACTCCAGGTTGTCTGTTTCACAAAGGGAGGTGACTAAAGCTCAGTCGCCATGGTAACTGAGCCTGCGAACATCACCTGGTCGGCAGCAGGTTTCCTTCCATAAACCTGGAGTTTCTTTCACAGTCTCCTCCCTCTGACAGCAGCCCAGCCGATCACACAGCGCGCGTTCATTCCCTCGTTCATTCACGTACTCTGTGTCAGGCAGCAGTTTCCACATATGAACAAAATAAGGTCTCTGTTACGATAAAGACTAAAGTGTTTTCTTGTACACAATGCTTCAGCCTCAGCCGTCCTCATATAACTAATGTCCCCCATCTGAGTGGACTCTTTGTGGAGCATTATGTCTTCCTGCAACCGGCAGTTTCCTTCACAACATCGGTTGATGAGGGCAACACTGAATATATCAGTCAATATCTCTAAAAACAACAAGAGAAGTCTACTACATCTTCAGATTGGCTCTTTGGATTATTTTCAAAGAGGCTTTTTTGAAGCGATACCGTTTTACCAGAGAAGCAGAAAGGACACTGCAGGTGTTCCCAGTTTCTCAGTACAAAGTCGGGTTGAGAAAAGTTTGCTAAACTCACCAAACTTCCTTTGTGTTGCACAAGTTGCTGCACTCGGGCAGACGGACAAAACAACAACAACATGAGATGTTACCTCCTGAGAGGAGGTTTTATTAGCGCACAAGTAGAAACACTCGTGTTAGCACCATGAGTCGATTGAATAGGGACTTTCTTACATTCAAACATTGTGTGAGTCAGAAAATATTGGAGCCTGATTTCATGGTCACTAATTTACCTTTCAGTAGTATATCCTAAAGGTAAGGGATATTCAATTCATATTCAATGGGGTCCAGTTGCTGAGAATGTACTCGTGCAACATCACAACAATGTATTAAAATCTGTATGTATGTATGTTAAATGAAGAAAGTTGTATTGGATAACATCTAAAAGGTCGCTGTTGTCAGACTTCAAATTAATTCAATAACAATGAGAACAAAAACTCCATAAAAAATAAAAGCTTTTGAAAAATGTTATCATGAAACAAAGTACGTCATTTGGGAAAATTGAATTTAACTGAACTGTCCTTCAGCTTTGAATGGAGCTCATTCAGGTGTTAAGTGAAAACAGGGTTATTTCCTCTGTGTTCCCCTCCGTTTACATCACCGTGTGTTGTGATTCTGATTGTTTTAGGCTCGCCTTCATTTTGGGTTTGATTTGCTTAATGATTCGCTGTTGCACATCACGTCGCCACTTTGACAATAGCCAGGGTCTTTGAACATAAGAGACTACTGTTTAATCTGGTTTTAGATCTCATACTTTGGCCGTAGCCGGGATTAGCCAGAAGACGTTCTTTGAGAAGTAACTTGCTTTTATATTAGTGTTTCCAATATTCTCTGTGCTTCATTATCTAAATGATATCATAGAGCGTTAGGCCTGTTTTTAAATGTCGTCAAAGGATTTATCAAATATTAATCACAACTCCTGTCAAAGTTAATGATGGGTTACAAAAAGGACAATTACAAGACTAAAATGTTCTCGAGTTAATCATTATGACTTATTGCAATGAAGATGATCCGCATGACTGTTTTGGAACGAGCAGAAATCTCACGTTTAAACTGATCATTTGTTCTATTTACGCTGTTGTCTACATTCACGCAGCATAACAGAACCTCATAATTAGCTTTGTACGTACTTGCTTGGATGTTGCCTCTTCGTTCCAGTCGCGTATCTGATACTTCAAACGGCTCCGTTCGCTTTCTGATGAAACTCATTTGGTCTCCGTCGGTTCTGCTGCCCTGTGGCCCGTTGAAAAATACCAGCCGTTGTCAGCTCATTTTCAATGTCACGTCATTGGCAGCCTGCTCTCATAGCGGCTCACTACTCACAAAGGCAATTGGCCTCATTTACTGAACTAGTTTGACCAATATTTATTGTTTTAAAGTCTCTTCTTTTCTAGATTTTGTTTTTTTTTCAAGACGACAATGAATAAATTCCATAATGCACAGAATCCATATCGATTTTATATAAGTTTGGGTCCTAATGAGGAAAATGAGTATCTGTGTGTGTTGTGGTTTTGGGGAAGAATCAAAAGTGAGAAAGAATAAGAACCTGAGATGCTTTTGTCATATACGGACAGATTCACTCCCCAACAATGATGCACGTGCAGGTGCAGAAAACCAGAATAATATTCAAGTTTGAAATGAAGTGTCCAGTGTAACACCTATTAAATAAAGAGCAGAGCGGATGCACATAAATTGTCCTTGGAGTTGCAGGATAAGCGACGCGGGGTCAGTGGTGGTCCTGGGCTTTATAATTGAGGTAACTTTCTTATCAGTCCTGGATTACGGACACATTTTATACATGCAATGCTCCTGCTGCCACTTCGCCCTCTTAGGATGGTGTTCATCATTCAGGATTCATGGCTGGAGATGATTAGAATTATTATCATTGTGAGCTGTCTGCTGAGGTTTTGGTGGCCCTTCTCTACGTAAAGGTCAGCCATCGGCCAATTTAGTTCTTACTATCCTCTCATCCCATCGTTCAAACACACCAATACGTTCACAACGACAAGCCCATCTGGACTCAAGCTAAGTGGGGAGTGAGTGCGGCGTGAACACGGTTTGCAAAAACTGCTTTGTTTCACGTCCTATCATAACATCGGCTTAATTATTGGTGCATCGCTGGTGGATCTTACGATTTCCTTTTTTAAAAGACAAATGCCCGCCGCTGCCACCTGCTGGCAAGGAGGGCAGTTACTCTCTCACGTGGTGGTTGGCTAGTTTTAGCGGCTGCAGTCTTTGAGGCGGGTTCAAGTGAAACTTTGGCGCCAGACGTGAGCGACGTAGGAGAACTCGAGGTGTGAATAACACTATGTTTTGTTTATGTATGAGGCCATTACTCTTTCATTTCAACTTCTTTTCATGCATTTTAATGTGGGCCTTTATCTGGTAGTTTTTACTCAATCTAGTTTATCTGTGCATTTCCCTGATGGAATAACAAGCAGAATGATCCACGCTTACCTTTATATTTCTCTTTTTGCTACATTTTTTGGTCCTTCTCGCCGTGCTTATGATCTTTTGTTTGTTTTATACTGTGCTATATTGAAATTGAGTTCTCTATCTCAATATAGAGTTCAGAGAAAGGTTGACTGAAGTGTTTAAGCTTTACCCACACTGCTACCGTCACAAATAAATAAGTTTTAGAAGGCGTCTGCTTTAGCAATATAATGCTCAAAATGGCTCTTTTTGACGTTTTATTGGATCTTCAAATTGAGACACCCAACATGCCACGTTTCCACAGTGCCAATTTCAGGCTGCTGAATATAATCCAACGCATGCGGTAAAAGCGCCCGCTATTATGTTTCAAGATCTGTCGCCATCTGACGTAACCAAAGAGAGCTGGTGACATATTGATAACAGCTTCCCAGTGCCACTCATTAGAACATCCTCAGAGCACAAGCAAGCACTGATTGAGAAGAAGGAGATAATGACGCTTAATAACAAGAAGGAAAAGCTGATTAAGTCACGGATCCTTCTCTCCTCTGACCCCTTCTCTTGCTTCTGCACTCTGGTTGAATCATTCAGTCACCGCGCAAATAACCGCCTCGTCCTTTTGACAACGCCGTGATTAATCGCACACATTGCAGGATTGTTACAGTTTCAATAGGATGTCAATTTGAGATGTTGATGAGATCCACTTTCACACGGAGGCGGACGATACGGCCTTGATAGCAGTAAAATCTCTACAAGAGAGAAAGTACCCCGTTTTGCATATTCTAGAGTGCACATGAAAAAAATATTAGAGACAGTCTTGGTCTTATCTTGGGAGCTTTATAATAACTTGAAATGAATAAATGTTTGCTCTCTAATTTAAGCGGCGAAGTGACACATTCTCTGCTAACGCACCTGTCGAACGAGGAAATGTGGGAAATGAGATCTCTGCAAATTAGCAGCTTCAAGTAAGCCAAACGTAGTCTACAGTGATGACATGCGTCTCCTTAATTGTGATTAGATTGAAGACGAATCGTGCATCCTGGTCCCGTTGACTCAGCGTGTTTGGGCAAATTGCATGCCGCACAGCTAAGGACAAGGTACCTTTGTCACACGTCTCTCCCTCGTCCGTCTCAGCCGGCTGGAAGCTGTTCAGTACACAAGAAAACACCCTTTCACAAAACGCATTTAAATAGCGAGATGTAAGAGCCTGATCTCGCCGAGCTGCATTCATGTGTTCGGCTTTCATCGAAGGCCTTCTGAAGTTGGTATTTTTCAGCATGATATAATGGCCAGTGCTTTAGACTTAACTGATCCGAGTTATAGTCCATTAGTGGTCTCAAACGTTGATTTCTGAAAACTGGGGGATATTTGATCTGGACGTGTAAGATGTATTCACGCTGTTTTTTAAACGTGGTTACCACTAAATCTTGATGGTCTGTTTGTCCGTAGGGCGAAAGAGAGACGATGTTGCTATACGTGAACGTAGTCCTCATCAAATGTATTGTTTCCTGTGTCATATGGTTTGGTTTTTTGATGAATAGCAATTTTCCGTCTTCTTTGATCACTATGTTGCAACGCAAAGGTTGGCATGAGGAAGAGATCCATTTTGTTCTCTCATAATCACCTTTGCGGGTCGAACGCGCTTTGCTCACCAGAGAAGCTTTCCTTTGGTTGCCATTGGCAACCACGCCCATAGATTCAATTCACTTTATTTTGTCTAACCCCAAAATGGCAAATTTGCCTCAGAGGGATTTACAGTCTGACACCAAATTCAACACAGTCGACCTTATAAGTCAACACCCGTTCCGCTGATTTCCATCAGATTCAACCCGATTCATTACAAGAAAGGCAACAGATCAAGCAAAAGAAAAACAGATCACGCCGAATCGTATGTATTGACAAAGTCGTAAATCATAAAATAATGCAGACGTGAAACCGCTTTACAGGACTTCCACTTAAAAGCATCACACACATTCATGCACCGTCTCTGAATGCTTTCTACGTCTCATCACGTCTGCGCCCGTATTTCCATATGGGATCTTCTTCTTCGTCAATATAAGGTGAGATGACAAAGAAGCAGAACTGCAAGATCCTGACTCGGAAATAGCGCTTCTGTCCCTGCAGCTAATACCTGTTATTCCATTCATCCACGTCGCTGATGAAACATTGATTGATCCCCCTTCTTATACCTCCAGTAGGCAGGTGACAAAGAAAGATATTTATGTCAGGATGGATAAACTGATGCTTAATATTTTGCTGGAGGCGACGTCTCAAAAAAGCTACTTCCTCAGAGCGTCTCTCTGCACTATGTTGATTAGATATACACATTCTTTTTACTCAAATGAATTCACTTCTCTGTCAATGTTTATAGACACAAACCAGTTATCTGGGCTTACATAATTAATTCCCTGTTATGCCAATCCACAGCCAACCAGGTGTTACTGTGTACCCACACCATTTCATCCAACATAAGCAACAGAACAGGTGCAGCGCGCTCTAATTTTCTCTCCTCCACCTGCTGTGATAATTAATACGCTGTTTTAATGCACGGTGAAAAGGCTTCTTCTCTTTGCGAGTTTGTTGTGTAGCTTTCGGAGTTGGCGGCAGACTCGAGGGGTCACTGTGGATCTGAGGCAAGTTTATCCGCTTCCCATTGAGCTATTGGTTTGCAAGCCCTTAGGTGGGCAGAGAAAAGGGGTGACGGGTATTGAATTCTCCAACAGTGTAAAAGTTCACATGAGGAAGGTGTGATAAACTGTAGCACTTCATTTACAAATTAGCCGGATGTGCACCGCTGGGCTGCGATCGATGCGCCTGCATCGATTCATACATTTAGGAGACCGTTTGCCACCAAAGGTTCACAAAGTAGATGTCGAAAAAACAAATGCGGGATGTGGAGGACACTCGCGTGAGAGGTCTTTTGTGAGCGTATATAAATAAATGGTCTTTGGTACGGGTGTGTGAAGTGAACCTTGGTGACACTTCTTCTGTCCTTATAACAACAACACGCTCGTGTGCTCTAATTGAAAACTAAGGTTGTACTTGTAGGCGTCATTAGTTATCTTTTGCAAGAAACTGCACTTGTGTGAAATTTCTCATTTTCCATTTATTATCAGACCTGAGATGGAAAAAGAAACATCTACTACTTAAAGCATTTACATGTATTGAAATGATTTAGAAGTGCTGCGCTTCAGCTCCAACGGTCACAGTTGAGAGTGAACAAACTGACTTTTAGTTTGAACTCTACCTTTTGTATTGAAAGTACAGTGCAGATAGATGGGGCCATAGAGCAATCCGGGGCTCATCGGCAGCACGTCGTTGCAAGACGAGTTGTTCCTTTTCTTTTTGTTGTGTTTTTTTAATCCATGTTACTGATGTCAAGCAGTACAGCAGATTGCCTTTGAGCAAGGTCACCTCGAACGTTATAGATGCTCTGATGGAGGGCCGTGGAGAGTCGGCTATAAATACTACGATACGACCCGGGAGCACAACACAGCTTGTAATACAACGGCGTGGCTTCTGTCTTTGTGAACATAACCTCAGCAAAAAGCAGGCGTAAAGAAACACCCATCAATCAGTATTTTCACCCATTATCAACCACGTTCATTTCAAATAAAAGTCTTTATTTTTAAATATATTTTGAATGTAATACAGTGCGATTTAAAATACTGTGTTCCTGTCCTTAAGTACAGCATTCGGTTTATCGGACAAGGATACAACATGTTCACATTAAAGGAATCGTTCATGGAAAGTGCCGCATGTACTAAAATTGCTGATGCAGCAGTTCAAGGATTACAGATTATATCCCATTTTTGTGGGAATATAATTTGAAGTTACACTCATTATTATGAAGGCAATCTGCAACCATCCATTCAAAAAGGCAATGCAGGGAAATACAGTGAGAACAATAATAACTCTGATCTTTAGCAAATGTATTTCAAATCACCAAAGGTTCTTTTCTTCACCGACAACAAGAACTGGTTTGCAAAACAGCAACACGCTGGGCGGTGATGAAACGAGCTCATTTCAATGCAAATATCTGGAGGTTTAGTGCTGAGATGGGAGTATGAATTCCCTCACTGAGGGGGGATTAGGCGCCCAGGGATGTAAATGACATGCTGAGCACAAACAGGCCAAACACAGCAGACGATCCAATTGTAAAATCAATTCTTTAAGGCCGCACTAATCAGCATTTTCGACTTGTAGAGGGAAAAAAAAAGGGTAACGTGAACGATGTCCGTCCTCGAGACAAAACTCTGAGAGAATATCAAACGACTGAGCAGATTGGAAAGCAGCTCATCGTTCAGCAGCCAGCTGTGGTCGGAGGTGTTACGTTTTGGGGTTGACCGCTCGTCTCTCGCCCCGGTACGTCTGGGATTTTTTTTCTCCTGTAGAGGAACTGATCAGATTTGGGAGGTTCAAGGCTAATGGGACGCCACATTTGACCCATTTTCTTAAGCGTAGTTTCTCAGGAAACACACACGAAGGTTCACCTGGACTCCACAATAGACTTCAGAGGGGAAAAGGTCAAGGTCACTGGTCTCATTTTGGTGATGTACTGGCAATGCTTTGACATCATTGTCGACTGGTTTGAACTCGTTCGATTTTGGTGGTCGAAGGTCAACGTGACCTCACAAAACACGTTTTTGACCGACACACATGCTGATTATGACAACTTTACATTAACCAAAACAGAGCTGAGGGAAAAATGACCTCATGTTTCTGCTGAGCGTGTAAATAGGAAACTATTTGCTTACAATTGGTCCTGCTTGAGTTCGGCCTTTTTCTTTCTCCTCAAACCTCCTCCCTCTCCGTCTTAGGTGTACTTCAAGCGCGATGGCGAGTTGATAGAGGTCATCTCCTACACCCTCCCCTCCGGCGAGCAGGACGGCGGCTCGGCCGGCGTGAGAGGCGCCCGGCCGCTCATCAGCAGGGACCTGGACGACACCAAACTGCAGCGCTCGCTGTCCCTCCTGGACCCCGAAGGGCGGGCGCCCCGCCAGTACACGGACAGCCCGCAGCGCGTCCACACCCAGGGGCAGCAGTCCTACGAGCCCAGCCCGGCGACGGAGGTCATCCCCGAGACGGTGGTGAGCCGGGAGTTCCCCCGCTGGGTGCACAGCACGGACCCCCTCTACTACTTCAGCCACACCAACATCCCGCAGAGCGACGGCTCCGTGGTGGTGCAGGCGCGCCTCACCTGGACCCTCAACCCGCAGCTGGACAACGACGCGCTGTTCAGCTGCGAGGTCAAGCACCCGGCCCTGTCCATGCCCATGCAGACCGAGGTCACCCTAGGTGGGTAGGATGCACGCGCCGTTCTAATCCAGCGTCTAATTGCTCTGCCCGAAACGCCACACGGTCGTTTTTTGTCTCTTTATTTTCCCGTGTGGGTCTCTTGCGTTCTCCTTGGATCCCCCTTGCCGGGACCAACCGGGCCCCCAATTTATGCGTCCCTGTTTCTCAGAACAACACTGATTTTCATTCCGCGCCGCTTAATTGTGTAACCGGCGAGCAGATTGGGAGTTTAGCTGCGAATGCAGAACTCTGAGAGACTGACGGGGCAGATTCACGGAGCTGTCTGTCGCTAGATTGAGTTAACGCACTGCCATTATTGAAGAAGTCGGCCTGAATTAGAGAAGTCAATAAGAATTTTGACACGCTGATCGATGATCTCAGCAATGAGCGTCTCCCTTAAGCTCCTCAGGGCATTTTATTTTCATGGCTTCACCACATATTTCAGGGCCAGAAAAAACTTCAACTGAGGGACCATTTTTTTTCCCCCCGTCCATCTGCAAAACTATCGAAGCAGAGGACGCGGTGATGCAGCCACTGGATTCTGAAAACACCAGTCGCGCTTTAAGGTAAACATTTGCATTTGTTTTTGATAGTGTGCGATCCAACACACGGCACACACACAATAATTTCCTGTAATCTAGAAACAAAGATTGCTTCCAGCGCATCCAATTAACACTTCAAAGGCGTCGGCGTCGGCGTGGTCGTCCTGGAGACGAGCCACGCAGTCCTGACACCATGATAAACAGAGACGTTATCTTCCATGAGATACGAGCCGCGGTTGAAGGCAGAAAGAGAATCTAATTGAGGAGACTGGCCGGCTCATCGCTGCTTGCCGCAGCGTGCGTCGCTGTCACTATTTTATCTCCCATCAGCTCCTTTCATGGAATTAAAATGAGATTTAGGAAGCGTCATTTTCATCTCGCAGTGGAGAGTCGCAAATAGGTTTAAGGAATGAAAAGTAGGGTCGAACATAACCCGTAAACAAGCCTCGCCTGAACAGGGGTCTATTGTTATAAAAGGTCCAAAAAAAACAATCAGTGCATCTTGTCAATAAAACACAGTAAAACTCCTGTTTGGTTTAATTGGAAAACACTGACCTAAATCCAAACATGGAATATAGTTATTTTCAGAATAATAGTGGAATATTAGTCTGCAAGTAAACGTTCGTCCAGCTTGTTTTTGTTGCGCACTCAAACAAAAATAATTTAATTTTCAGTTTTTTCCTTTTTTGTGGGCCGAGGCGTTTTCTTATATCTGAGCAAATAGGGTGAATCTTCAGGGTCTCAATTAGTGAGGAAGGGAGACTCCTTTCTGAAAGGACGACGCTGGCACTTCATGTTCAACAAACCCCATTAAAAAAAACCTACTCTGTCAATAACACTTGGCCTCAAAACCTTTGGTAATTTTACGCACTACTTGCTAGCATCAACAATATAGTGTTGGTTTTGGTATTTTTATAAAAGTCATAGATCTTAGTTATAATTTAGAATATCGCCTGCCATACCTTTTTCAAACCATTTATTTACATCCAAGCCAAGAAGGGGATCCATTGTCCAAAGAAACCCGCGCCATCGGTATTGCTTCGCTGTCGCCGTCGTACCCCGGGTAAATTGCAATAGAGCGCATCCCATTCCGGATGGGGAGCGCCGGGTCCGTAGAAGGTACAACGGCACGAGCCGCCTGCTCCGAAGAAAGATTCAGCTCTTTGCCTCTTTCACATGTTGGTGACGAAACCGGCGACGCAGCCCGAGGGCGACGGCTCCTGTGAAACTGTTGCTAAATGTAAAAGACGCTAATGTTTTGACACGTCGTCGTCTCCCCTCGGCGCTTTGAAGGCATTAATTCATCATTACCGTCGGAAGTAACACGTACAGAAATGAACACAAAAAACAGGCGCCTTTGTTGATTCTAACTAGAGCGCAGTTGAAATTCAGAGCATTCGCAGAGCTACTCCGGGCTTCGTCTATATTGGAGCGGAATAGTACATAAAAATGTACTGTGCTTGTAATTCAGGTTACAGGTGATTTTTTTTACCTTTGTTTAACTCTAATTGAATGTAACCGTCAATCAATCCTCTACGTGCCCCTTTTCCCTTTTATCATCCAGCCATAACTGGATGATGTCACTGGGTATCTTTCCTACTGTATAGTGCACAGTCCCAGGTGTGTGTGGTCAGGAAATGAAAAGAAGGCATTCGCAGTGCCCATAAGCAATAAATCTTTCAGAGATTTAATATTGCCACATGAGACGGAGCGACAGTCTGAAAATCCACCCGTGTTGTATTGCGCTTCATGAATATTCACAGCTGGCTCCGTGCTCGGCGTACAAATCCACCTGAAGCCGGCGCTTTGGGGGTTAAGAAAAAAAAAGAAGAAAAAAAATGGTGCTACAACTCTTATGAAATCATGAAACTGGATTATGTTCCTGAACACAGTGCATCTTAATAATTAAATGTTTTCCTCACCGCTGGATTTACGGTATTTATTATTCCACGTCATTAGACAAGTGGTGAAGTTTATTTCTCTTATTCCATGCACACCCTTTCTCCCAGCGACTGCTTGGCCAGACCATCATAATCAGAGAGCAGATGCTCAGTTCCAGGAAGGCGTCTGTGTGTGTGTGTGTGTGTGTGGTTATCTAAATGTGAATGAATGTGAATGAATAAATGTGTCTTTGTCTGTTTGTCCACAATATTTATTATCTGGCGATGGGCGCAAAGTTGGCGGTTCCAACCCCCGGCTGCTCCGTGTCCCATGTCGAAGGGTCGCCCAAACCCCTGACTGCTCCCCGGGGCAAATGTCCTCTGCATTGCATCTCCTCTATTTGTATTGTTAAAGTCAGTTATGCTGCTGGGTTGGTGTGACGGTACACCTGCTGCACAGGTTTGTCCCCTGACCCGGTGGGAGCTCCAATCTCGGGAACCGAGCAGGAGTTTGCTCGTGGCTCACTTGGTCCTCGGAGAGCGGCTGCGTATACGTCCATCGCGCTGCCCTGATCAAAAGGGGGTGACGTAGGACACCAACTGTCGCTGTTGGAGCAAATCCCAGGAAATCGGCCATCGTCTTCCCAAACCATATGCCCCGCGAGCTCTATGTGACGCCGTGACACCGGTATTTAAAAATACCCTTCCGTTAGTGTGTGGGCAGCGGGAAAGATGTGCGTTACAGCGCCATGCCAAAACTAGCATGTGAAATGCCACCCGTCCTCAGCACGCTTCGCCATGACAAACTGCCCACATGGTGTCGGCGGTCGGTGCGGCCAGTTCACATAAAAAGCGTGAACGTTTGTCCATTTGCTTTGCACCAGCTCGGACTGCCATGCACTCATTTTCTGGACAAATGGACCAGTTTATGCAAGATGACAAGATGTCTAGTAGTGCTAAAATCCTGACAAAATGTGTATAGCCGCTCCTTCCGCTTCCATTCTTGCATTTTTTTTCTTCTTCTTAATAAAGGGATTGTGATAAACGCTGCATGGGTTTTGCCACATGCTCAATCCTATTTACAGATATGACAGCGCAACTCCTCATCCATTACACTGAAAGCAGGCTGGTAGTCAATGGCTGCCTAAAGGCTGTGCTTCGTTAGCCACAGTGGACACTTTGTTGCCAGATTAATAGCCAAATACTGAGGTCATTTGTCTGTTTATTTATTCATCCTTTAGTTTAGCTCATCTAAGAAAACAAGCAGCAAGTGTGATTTATATCGAGAGTTGAAATCCCATTGATTGAAGAAGTCCCGGGGAGGACTGGTAACCGGGGTTATTGATAGGATGGCCTTTGCTGGAGTCTCTTTGCACGTGCTCCTCATTTCTTTGGTGGAGCCGTGAGCTTTGGCGAAATTGTTAATCATCCCAAGTCGTGCAGAACCTTCCTATATATCGGCAGTTATCCGTGCGGTTTGGCTGTAATGAAATAACGTACCTTTTTATAACACCATGGAAATCACCCTTTTTATCTCCACACTACATACACCGGCTCACAATATTAGAATATGGCTGCTCCCTTTTTATGCCCGCGCCCCATTGTATTAGACGGTCCAAATGAAAGCCATCTGGGATCCACTGTCCACACCGAGACAAGGGAATTAGCTCCCTGAGTGTCCCTTATCTCACTGCCTCCTGCACTCCCATTCTCCTCTAGTAATGAGCGTCAACCCAATTTAGATCTTTTTCTCACCAAGGGAGAATAAATCCAGCGCAGTCCTTCGGATGAAAGAACCGCAGGTCCCTCGCCTCCCGCCCCATGACCTTAATTGACAGGAAATTGTATTTGTCTCCCTCCCTCTGTGACAAAACAGGTGTCCAGCAGGATTTGCTCTCCATGCTCAGTACGATGACCTTCTTTTTTTGTCTCTTTTTTTTTTGTCTTTTCAGCTGCTCCTAAGGGCCCTAAACTCTCCATGTCCCCTACTAGAGCAAAGGTAGGGGACACGGTGCGCATCACCGTGCAGGGATTCCAGGTAGGATCGCCTGGGGTAAGTGCATGGGGTTTTGAAGGAAATCACGTTGAAACTGCATGTTCAGTTAAGCCTGTTTAACCATATTTTGGAGTGCATGACCTCTCAGTTGGACGTGGACATATTCTGTCCCTTCCCTTCTGTCTTTGCAATTGTGCATAGAAATTTGAGTTTTCTTTCAAATCTGGACACATTTTAACATCTTACAGACCTTAATGAACAGCCTGTAAGATAACACAGTCGCTCAAAGGAAATAGCTGAACTAGATTCATTCGTTTGTATGTGACAGCAGTGTCTGATGTCCATGTCTACCAGACAGCAGGCAGCAATGCTATGCTAGTCAGTTTACCTTGCTGCTTTCACACATCTTGCTCCATAATCCCAAAGAAAGAGCTGAAGGTTCCAGCGAAGAGATTGTTTTGTGTCACTGTCATCCCCTCCTGAAGAAATCCCCTCTCGGATGCTCTTGATTCTTTTGACATTAAAGCCAACAGCTAATCCTGATATTGGACCAAAAGCACATAAAGAAAAGATCACGGCTTGAGGAATCTCTAGAAGTCACACGTTACATTTGTTTTACTCTTCTTTCCATGTGAAATTCATTTTGAATGCACAGATGTTATCATGTGCGTGTGTCTGCCCTTTGGATTATCTTAAAGTTTAGTTTTTTTTGTACAGTGTTAAAATTGGTAATTATAAACCGGGTTGACTGTGTAATAGAGCCAGTCGGGCCCTTCGGCAGCACAGGCAGCAGCGCATCAAAACTGATCTGGAAGCAAATTCCCCCTTATCCTCCACTGGAACGATCAGCTTTAAGGTTTCACAAGAAGAAACGATTGTGTGTGGAGACCGACAATTTCCCCTTCTGTCTTTCTGAGGAAATAAGATGCTACTTTCCCCTCTGGTATATTGTTTTAGAACTCATGCTCATTCTTCAGCACGGCTTTTACATAACTGCCTTCCTCATATTGCTTTTCTGTGTGACTTTAAATAGGACATTTAGTGTTTCATTTTGACTTAATGCTCAGTTATGCGACAGGAAGGTTTCACTTTGACCCTTTTAGTGTTTGTTTGTTTCTTTCCTAATGTGACCTTTTCACCATCCACTAACTCCTTTTAACCTGCGTCATGATTTAAGCTCAGGCCTCGGAGAGCTGTTTTTATTATCGTGTCCTTTGAAAGGTTAGACATTTCACAAATACTTTAGTAGGCCACTGCAGGCTGTCAAGGGCACGTTTACAGCGAGCGTGATCGGAGCGGTTTATCTGACCTCTGAGGTGTTTGGGTTTGTTTGAGCATGTGAGACGATATCGTTTGAACCTGGTTTGCGTGCTGAAAACAAATGGACTGACGCCACCTGCTTAAGGGCTACGGGTTCCGAGATGGGACCCTTATGGGTGAAGGAGAGTGATGTTGACATCTGATAGTCGGCGGTTTGGCTTGTGGTGTAAAAAACGGCAGCGGAAGGGCAAACCGAAGCCTGAGCTGATTCTCATTCCACCGTTTGTTAATGCGCTCTTAACTGATATGAGCAGGGTTTAGATGAAGCGTCACAGGCCTCCTTCTCCTCCCTCATTCACTGCGTTTGTCACAAAATATGAGGAAATATTGTTGATTTTTTTCTTTTTATACATTTCTTTAGGAATAGATAGGTGATTTTGTCGTGCCTCTCTTATGAACCTATCCAACAGTGGACCTTTTTTTATTACGCATCCAGCAACAGTGGAAAGACATAAAATGTGCAGTAGCGAGGTCATTTCTTTTTATTTGAACGAATCCCTCAAAACAAATGACATTCAAAATGTTTCAGTCCCAAATAATATTCTTTGACTTGTTCTCACAAGGACAGGATTTCAATCCAAGTAGAAACTTTTACTGTATACGAACATAACAAAAGGATGCTGCCTCAATTAATATTCATTAAAAGCATCAAAGATCTTCAGAGCAGTCACTGAAATCTGTCCCATTGCAAACTATGGAGGTCGCCTCTATGAGATGTACACACGGGACAGGATTACCAGCCCCTTTTTGGGGCCTTTTTGTAAATACTTTTTGCACTTTTATTACAAAAAATCGATCGTCTTCTGGAAGGTTGAGTTTGTCAAGGACTGATTGTTGAAAATGGAGGAAATGGTGGAATTGTACAATAGATTCAGCTTCCTTCTGTCCTCTTGTTATCGATACACAGGTGACTCAAATACTGCATTATGTAGCGCTATGTTTTTAAATTGGGGGTTGTTCTCTTGAGGGGAAAAAAAAGTTGGTTATTAATGCATGTTGTTAACGTGCGTTTGAGGGAAATTGCCGCGTGTATTATTCATGTACCCTTTGCTCTCATCCTTGTGGCTGACACTCTCCCCCTCCCTCCCTCCCTCCCTCCCCTCTCTCCTCCTTCCGTCCCGTGTGTCGACAGAACGAGGTGTTCCCCGAGCCCCTCTTCACCTGGACGCGGGTGGGGGGCCGCCTGCTCGACGGCAGCACCGAGCGGGACGGGAAGGAGCTGATTCTGGAGAGAGTGCCGGCCGAGCTCAACGGCTCCATGTACCGCTGCACGGCCCAGAATCCTCTGGGTTCCACGGACACCCACACCCGCCTCATCGTCTTCGGTGTGTGCGCTCGGCTCGGAAACAAGCACTGACGCTGTCCTGCATTTAACTGAAACCTCATTCAGCTAATGAATTATTAAGAGGTCGTTGGATGTGGAGGATTTTTTTTTTGTGACTGCACAACTTGGGTCCACTAGTTATCTGGAACACTACAATTACACAGTTTAATGTCACAGAAAAAGGACACGATTCCTCAAAATGTATTTTAATATATACACATTAACTTTGGAAATGACTCATGTGGCTACTTTTAGGTATGAATCATTAATGCAGCTAAGTGAGTGATTAATAAGAGATTGTATTCCTAATTGGCTCAACAACACATCCTTTTTAAGGCTGCACTTAGTGAGAATATCTATTCTCTGGCAAGGGATTTAATCACCATTCCGTCGGTGGCGTGTCATGTTCTGCTCCCGCTTAAACACCGGCGGCCAACAGCGCCATCAAAGGCCCGAGATGAAATCAAAGGGCCTTTTGTTGATGGCCGTGTTAGAAAAGCACTTTGTTCAGTGGCCGAACAGAGAGATAACGTGTCGCGAGACGGAATTAGTTTGCTCGTTGGTGATGATTTCTGAGCTGCGTTGCACACACGCTCTATTATATACGCGGGGACATATTTACCGTGGACTTTCTGAGCCTCATCAGAACGCTTTATGTGTGGGCGTCATGTTGGAATAAGTCCAGAAAGTATCTTTGAAAATAACACATGGCTTCAATCTGATTGGAGAGACTTCACATCAACGGAAAGCTTCGAGCCCACAGTGTTAAATATTCAGATATCATTCATATAAATACAGCGTCTGATTTCTTTGTTCTATCCAATGAAATTATATCATAGTATTATATTGAATAAAAAGTTTAGGAACAAACAGAAAGAGCATCCAACCGCGCTTTTGTCACCAAATGGAAGCCCGGTCTTGTAACAGAAACAGGAGAAATACTTTTTTTTTCACATGTACTTCGGCCCTGAATTGCCAGATTGATGTAAATGAAGTGAAAACCATTTACGTACTTCATGGACTCTGGGGAAAAAAAAATGAACACTCCGTCCGTCTTTTTCTTTGTAAGTCTTTTGCCCCGAAACACTCCTGTGAACAGGTTTTAAAGTATGTCACAAATGTACAAATTACTGGTCGGGCCTAACAAGGAGCCACTTTAAGGGGAAAGTGCCACTTTAGGTAGGCGTTACCTTGGGAGGCGTTTTGCTAGGAAGAGCACTAATATCTATTTAACACCCTGATGCACCCTCAGGTGTCATCGGCGACGTGCCTGGTACGGCCCATCTGTCTGCCTGCTCCTTGTAGATTGCCTCCACTGGCGCTCAGGGGATGTAAACGGTGATTAAGTGACCTTGGCACCGTCCCCCCGTGGCCTTGAGATGAGACACCTCTCTAACCTTTTTTTCGGCGGCGGGGGGGGGCCCGGTTGGCAGAATGTTCAGTACAAATCATCAGGAATAATAGCGTATAATAACGGCTGCAGAAATCACAGGCTTGTTTCAGTCTTTAGCCACCCTCAGTGATAATACCCTGAGAGATTACTGTGAAGTGAGTCGGCACCGAGGAGCCGGGCAGTGACACGCATACGCGCACACGCACACCAAACCAAACCGCAGGCACATGCAGATATCTACGCTCATGCAAACAAGGGGCGAGCTAACACAAGCGTGCATGTGCAGACTGCACACACTTGCGTCCCTGTGTGTGCGTGTGGCCAACGCCTCCATTGCAATTGGAGAACTGCAAACGCACGGTTAACCGTGCATGCAGGTCTTTTTTAAAAAGGCGGAGTCCATTTCTCCGAGCCTCCTACCCAGACGGTCTGGCCACGGCTGCAGTCGCTGTTATTAAAAGTGTCCTGGCTGTTCTGGTGCGGCGCTCCGTGCTCCCAGTTCCATTAACAGGCCCGGTATCTCTCACTGGGGATGTTCCATTCAGAAACCTTTCCGTTCGGCGTCATTAGAAAAGCCACCATCCCCGTTCTCGTGCTCATTATCCCCTCGTTAAATCGCCCTTCTTCATACTTAAACCCCCCCGGTAAGGGCTGTGCTTTTTTGCTCATCTCACAGTTTTTTTTTTCTCTGTCTTTCCAACAGAAAACCCAAGCATGATGAAAAACACACAGAATCAGAACAGTAAGTATGCCGCGCAGCTTTGAGTGTGTTCCCTGGGCTGATTCCCGCTGCATTGCTTGATTGCCGTTGCCATTTGCAGACACACTGTTTGCGATGCGAGAACAGAATGTGAACCAAAAAAAGACCAGATTCCCTTTTCACTCAGAAAAGGAGATGTGCGGCGCCGGTGAGAGGAGCGAAAGGCTCTGCGAATGTGGAAAACACGGCGTCACGGAGTATTGATGGGTGGATGTTGATTCTCGTTGGGCCCCGGATCCCTTCCCCCGGATAGACTGCGAGGGAGTGATTCAGTCAGGATTAATCTTCGCCGATGTTCAGCAGCAGCGGGCGACAAGCGTCTCCCCATGACTAACCGAGCCTGTCACTTTTGGTTGAGCACGAGATTATTGGTGTTTCATATGCGCTGCAGTGGCTCATTTGCGGCTTCTGAGATTATCATATGTAAAGATGAGGGATTGTCGGGAGAAGCCGCGGGGCTGTGACAACAGCCTTTCCATCTCCCCCCCCCCCCCCCCCTTTTTTTCTGCCAACTCCCTCCCTCTTTCTAATTCAGTTTGCCGCCTGCCTTTCCTCTCCTCCGCTTTGACTCTTCACATTCACTTTCTGTCTCCCCAATGCAAACCGTTCTCAGTTTTTACCCCCCATGGTTCTCATTTCGCTCTCCCTCTCTCTTCTTCTGTCATATTTGCCTTTAATTATATATTTATGACGTACAGCCTAGTTTACAATCTCTGCACATGCCTTATGGCCACTGCAGATTACGCTGCTCGGTAACAGAGAGCCGCTTCTGGCTGAACGGACACTTCAAAGTAACCGAGACTGGAAGGAAAGTGGCGACTGTACCATAAGAGGGAATTCTGTAACAGCTTATCTATATTTGTGTATACACGCCAGCTTTTCCCACCATTTCCACCAGGTGCCACTTAAAGGGTAGCATGTCACGGTCCGTCCACATACGTGTGTCTTTATTATTAATAATGGACGAATCCCAAATGCTAATTTTGTAAAACACATCAGTAATTTTCACTAAATGTCGATTGTTACTTATGTGCAATGTGGCCTGGAGCAACACCAGCATTGTAATTGTTTTTGAGCTGTTGTTGATGAACTGGAAAATGAATTAGAATGGTATAATTTCAGTGCATAATCCCTTGTGCATGTGTGTGACGCCCGTGTCTGTCCCCCGCGTACAGTGTGAACAGCTTTCCGAGCAGATGGCATACGAGCTGTTTTTAAGCCGACCCGCCCCAGTCAGAGGAGATGTGAACAGTCTTCCAGTCTGACATTAGCTTCGCTGTTTTTATCGCTTTTCCGGCCTCCTACTCCAAAAACATCTTATCGTGTGTCTCTCGCCTCCCCCTCCCTTCCCAACTCAAGTTATCTGCCCCTCGTCCTGCTGCTCCTTGTTTTCCTCCTCTCTTCCCCACCCTTGCATATGCCATCCGTGGCGTCGGGATGCAAACCCGAATATGCAAATGCTATGGTAAGCGCGGCAGCAGGTGTGTCACAGCAAGGACAGAATCAGGTCAGCGTGGACGCGCAGACATGCCTCGCGTGCAAGTCAAATCGGTGTACAACATGGCCCCCGAGAGGTCACCCCACACGTGACCGATAGCATAACGGCTGAATAGCCGTGGGAAGGGCCGCGCTCACGTGAAGTTAGTCAACGCCGCAGCGGACAACAGAGCTCGCCTTCCCGTCAGGGGGTTGTATGCATTCATCTTTGTCAGAATTCCCCTCTCCCAGGCGACTTGTCATGCCACACTGCGCGGCGGTGAACCGGATTCAAGACTTGAGTGTAATTGAGGAGCGAAAACGTGACATGTCTTCTGCCGCGCAGTAACACCTTGTCAGCCTCGGTTTACGGACTTATCAAAACGTTTCGGGGTTGTCACCAGAACTGCATTCCCAGCCGAGACGCGGTGGTCTCAAAAGGGAGATGGATCGCGGTTACCAGGCAAAAACTGAAGGGCCGTTGCATACGTTGACTCAAAAGTAACGGTGCAAAAACCAGCGAGCAGCGATAGTCGAGTGATCCGCATCTGTCATTTCTGTCAAAGCAGCAAATCCTCTTTCAGAACAGAGGTCGGATTAGAGACAGGAACCGGGCTGGTAGGAGGGCAAACAGATGTGTCATGGCCGCGGCTAACTTTTCCCATGCAAAGGGAAGGTGTTTCAGCTGGCATTGAAGGTCCAGGGTGCAACATTATTTGGTAAAAAGAGCACATTGCCGATTAAATCAGCCCCAGTTCAAATTCAGGAGGTCTGAGACAAAATCTGAAGGAGAACAGATGGCCTGCGCGACATGCATCTGTGATTGTAAGCTGGAAGGGGACCTCATATGACGATCTTATGGTTGGATGAGTCCATTACAGCATGAGATGAAGTACTTAATGAGAAGATCCAGTTGTTCTTTTCTTGTTTTGACACACTTGATTGGCATAGGCTGTGTACGACATGTCACGTTGGATAGAATTCCGTGGAAATTTATAATGGAGTCATTGTGATTTAAACAACCAAACAAACAGCTAACATCCGATCCAATTGCAGCCTGGTCACGCTGCCAGGGGCGTCGAATACAGATGCATGGGAAGCGTTTCTCGGCGCCCGTATGACACGTAGCCGGCTTTATGCTAACTCCAATGTAAAGCCAGCCATTGATGGACAAAATTGATGGTCAAAGAGCCAACGGGGAAAAGAGGAAGGGATCCGCTGAGGCTGAGAAGGAATGGGGATAAATGGTCAATGTCAAACAAAGACGGGGCTTCTACTGGCGGTCACTTTACATGAGAAACCCAGCCGAAGGATGTTTTACTGGCCGACGTTTTACCATGACGATACAGTGTGACTTCTACCAAGTAACGTTACAGGTTGACGTTACAGGTAGACGTTACAGGTTGACGTTACAGGTTGACGTTACAGGCTGACGATACAGTGTGACTATACCGTGTGACGTTACAGTCGCGGGCGGTCCGCCGTGACGATACAGGCTGACGTTACAGTTGCAATCGGTTTCCGTGCGACGTTACCGTGCGACGTTACCGTGCGACGTTACAGGCTTGACGTTACAGGTTGACGTTACAGGTTGACGTTACAGGTTGGCATTACAGTGTGACGTTACAGTGTGACGTTACAGTGCGGCGTTACAGCGTGACGTTACAGGTTGACGTTACAGTGCGGACGTTACCGTGGACGTTACCGTGCGACGTTACCGGGCGACGTTACCGTGCGCCGTTACAGGTTGACGTTACAGGTTGACGTTACAGGTTGACGCTACAGGTTGACGCTACAGGTCGACGTTACCGTGCGACCTGACAGTGCCGACGTGACAGTGCGACGTTACAGGTTGACGTTACAGTGGGACGTTACAGGTTGACGTTACAGTGGGACGTTACAGGTTGACGTTACAGGTTGACGTTACAGGTTGACGTTACAGTGCGACGTTACAGGTTGACGCTACAGGTTGACGTTACAGGTTGACGTTACTGGTTGACGTTACAGGTTGACGTTACAGGTTGACGTTACAGTGTGACGTTACAGGTTCACGTTACAGTGCGACGTTACAGGTTGACGTTACAGGTTGACGCTACAGGTTGACGCTACAGGTTGACGCTACAGGTTGACGCTACAGGTTGACGTTACAGGTTGACGTTACAGTGCGACGTTACAGGTTGACGTTACAGTGCGACGTTACAGGTTGACGTTACAGTGCGACGTTACAGGTTGACGTTACAGTGCGACGTTACAGTGCGACGTTACAGTGCGACGTTACAGTGCGACGTTACAGTGCGACGTTACATCAAAGTTTGTTACAGGCATACTAATTTTACCATGACAATTGATAATAATTCCTACTATTAATCCTAAGAATCTACTGGCTTGAGTCGACATGTGTTTTGTGTCATCAGCCTTTTCAGATTTGTGGGATGTTTTTCTTTCTCTGAAATCAAGAGTAAGGACAAGGCTGGCTCACGTTGAATTAATAACTATTATAAGATATAATAACAACAATCCCCATTGAAAACTCAAAACTGCACAAGAAGAAGGGATGTAGCGGCACCATTATTTTCATTGTTGTTGAGTGTTGTTGTCATCAAGTGAGCACGCTTGTCGTCCTCGAAGTGGGACTTCAAGTGACAAGCTGAGATCGGTCCCACGGGAAAGCCACTTTAGATCGTTAGTATGAGGGGCCTTCAAGCTTGTCTTCATATGTGATATTTGATTGTAGCACAAAGTGTTTCAGTGGCTTTAGAAAACACTTTTGAATGAATAACTAAGCCTCAAAATGTGGCCATCGGTCATTAAAAGAAACGGCTTTACCGGCACATCCACGAGTAGCATCCACTATTATTACAAAGCGGACCTCTGCTAGCGAACACATGTCGAAGCACGTCACTCACAAAGTAGCCTCGCCCTGAAGGATACCTTGTTTTACGGTGCAAAATGAGAACCTAGCTGTATTGAGGAAGAATTGAACTATTGAGACCATGGACGTGTGTTTACAAGGCTTGCTGAGGTAATTAAATAAGTGAGAACAATGTTCTGACTAAAATGTGGGTTAATGTATCAAGTGTGTGTCTGTCTGATTGACTGTTTGTTCTGTTTGCAGATGGAGCTTCACGCGTGGACATCCCCGGACTAACGTGGATGGCGCTTGTCCTCACAGTGACTGTGGAACTGACGTGAAACCTCTCATTCGAGACACTCTCGCGCTGACACGTACACACACACACATACGTACCCTTCCTACACAACATCCACACGCACACACACACCTACAAAAACCCTGCAAGCCTTCTGCAGTCATCAACAGGCTCTCCATGCGTCAGTCGATCAGGAAACAGCGCCATCTCAGGATGGCGCTCCACTGTTTTCCGGGTGTGGGGGGGCTTTGTAATGAAATAATAACCAAGAAAATGATATGGAAGGAACGACTTGATGAACATGACAACAACCCCCACCCCTCCCCCCCCATATAGCCCCGCCCATTTACACCCTTTTTCTGTTTCTTGTCCCACGTCTCTGCCTGGTGATCAATAAAAGCCGATGAGTTGAAATGGAAAAAAGGAGAAAAAAGCATTTGGGATTTTTTTTGTTGTTGTGTCGAAATGTCATTGGAGTTGACTGAAATGTGAAAAGTGGAACGGGCTGGATAAGTGCCGCCATATCAACCACACCCATCTGTTACATGTCTTGGGATGCACCTGATTAGCAACAAGCTAATAAACCACGGGGGAACAAACACAGATGCTCCGAGAGAACATTCTTTTTTTATTCATAGACAAGCATTCCCTTTTTTTTTCTGATGGCGCGGAATGTACAAGAGGATTTAAATGCATTAAGAAACTAGAAAAAAAAAAATCTCCTTTTTGAGTGTATTTTGTGTACATCAGTGTAAATATTGAAAATAATTAAAGACGTTATATGGGTGATGGGGAGGGATGGTTGCTGATATAGCTGGAGGTTAAACTTCTCCACCTTTCTTTGTACTTCATTCAACACCGTTCTCAGAGATCATTCTCGGCTGGACGGACAGGAACATTAAAAGCCTTTGTGTTTCTTATTTGGGCTTTTTATATCTAGCAGGTCTCCAAGGACAGTTTAAAAAAAAAAAAAAAAAAAGATCAAACATATGTCTGCTGTTTTGGGGTTGTGGTGCATGTGACGTTTGAAGATTCTTTCTCCTTTTGGTGTGTTGCAAATGGCAGCGCTGCAACTCATTGTCACTGGCCTGTAATCCAGTTATTCACTTGTGACATACTATCTTAAGTGACCTACATTGTGTACAATGCGTAACTCTTACCCAGACATCTACAGTACTAGTAGGATCATTTTAGTCGCCATTCCAGGGAGGTGCTCACTCGAGGCAACGTGTGTAAACAGGGTTGTTGCATTTGTTTCATTTCACCTGTATTAAAATGGAGAGATGATAAAACCTGCCAGCCTTGACTTTACTTATACCACCGTGTTGGACATGTCCAGTGTTAGATTCCCCCGGTTGCCTTTGATTCCTGTCACAAATAACATACAGCGTGGAATATCGCTCACTCCTTCATATCCAGATTATGGCAGGGGTTGTTCTCGATCTCGCCATACGACGGAAATTAGAAGAGGAGCGTGCGCAGAGAGGCGAAGAACATGTCGTCCTGCTCCGTGACGGAGCGAGGCCCAAAGATGGCTTTGTTTCAGACATTCCTTAGTGTACTGACCCAACGTGGCTTTTGAAGGAGATTTTTCTGTATTGCTGTTGTCTATTCTCCCGCACAGTGAAGGGCGGCTTAACGCGGAATAATCCTGCATTTTTTGGGACCTTGCAAGAATTGCATTTTGAGCTATTCTAAGGACACAACGCGTACTGGGGGATTAATCTTTAAACAAGGTGGGAGGAAAGAGGGGGATTTCTAAAGCTTAGTCCAACAGGAAGGTTAGATCTTTCCGTTTGGGATACGGCCTCACCTTGCCAAAGGACAATCCATATTCCTGCATTCTGAGAGCTGCATGGGACACACATTATTAAGACTCAGTCATATGTGCTTTGAATGGCTAGTCTTTTCTTTCCAGCGAGCGAAGCAAAAGGCGCGAATCTGTAGCATTGTTAACTTTGATTCAGGGGCTATTCTGTGTTTTTCTTTCTTTTCAATCATTTTGCATTCAAGAGAGATAAAAAAAAAGTACATTTGCAATTTCTGAATGCATTGGTGAGTCAGTGATGTTCTCTGACTCACCCAGGTGGCATCGGGGAGGGACGGGTGCAGCCTGGACCGGGGGGGCCAGTCAGTCGCAGGGCCGACAGAGACAGACAATCATTCATACACCTAAGGGGAATTTTCTAATTGGCCAATTTGGCAAATGGTCTTAATGTAATCATCATGTGTACAGATTTTGACACCTCTGCGTGTGTGTGTCTGCAAGTTAATAGTCCGTAGGAACATTTGATGTAACTTAAATCCATAAAATCCATTCAAAGCTGCACTAAACCAAAGGGATCTAAAGATGCAATAAATATGACCCTTTTAAATGCATGAACTTGCATATTCTTTAACTTCATATTTGAGCCATTTAATAATTCCCTTCTGTAGTAATGGTCCTTAATAATGGGGACATCCCGGTACCCATCATACGTTAATGCTGTTTAAGTTTATTTTGAAGATTGGATGATACTTTAGCAAAATCCTTTTCTAAATATTATTTAATTTCCGTAATATCTCAAAATATTAAGCTTTACTTTTTACTCCATTCCTGACCTACGTAGTTTAAAAGGGACAGCAACACTTTTTGTTCAGTCTCGGTCAGTCGCACCTTTCATGGAACGGCACAATCGAGAAGAGGTGAAAGTGCCGAACGGCAGTGTTGGCGAATAGTTCACACGACCCGGGAGCAATGGCAAGGATGAGAAGCAGCTTCTTTGGCCCGTCTGTGAATTATTCAGCGCTCAACTGTGCCGGCGGAATCCGGTTTCCTTTATGTCGTCTCCTGGCTTTAGCTATCAGATGTCCAAACAATGCCCATGAAAGGTAGGACACCTGACACGCCCTCTGAGTGCTGTAAAAATAAACACTAGTCTGCTGTTGACCACGGGCTCGCTCAACTGTGCTATCAGCAGCAAATGACGACCTGACGCAGACAACTGGGCGGGGGGGGGGGGGGGGGCATGGCTCCCATGCGACAGAGATGTATTTTGCCCCTGAGCATACATAGCATGTGGAATGAATGACGCTGTCAGGTTTCTCTGTGGACACTTTCAGACGGTTAACTGTGTTATTTTATTCCTGTGTATTCATCACACACACAAGTGGCTGCCATTTTGTTGTTGGACAGCGAGCTCCGGCGCATCATTTGGGAGATTCATTGTAGCATCTGCGCTGGCAGAGAGAAGGACCTTTGATCTGTGGCATGGCTGTGCAAACAGATGTATCCTGGTTATTAAGTAGTTGATAAATATCACCTATCATAACTCCCCACACCTTATTCAGACCATGTTTTCCTCCTGCAGATCGTAGCCGTGCAGTGCAGCCTGTTAAGAAGCGTGATGTGACGTAATGGTTATACAGACATTCTGAGAAATGTGCATAATTAAGTATGAGCTCAGCCACTCCAGTTTGATTTAACACGGAGCAAAAGCTAAAACAAAGTTGGGATTTGCTTTTAAGGTATTAGGAGGATGATAGTCATGGGAAAAGCTCCGATAGCAAACAGCATAACCAAATATTGATTCATGAGGTATTTACATATTCTCTGTATGGTTATTGAATTGACATCTGACTTGCCACAGGTAGTGCATGACCGATGCCCCGCCTCTGCGGAGCCTGGGATGCAAATAGTACCTCCACAGGTGTCATTTTACACTTGATCCTTTGGCAAAGAGTCATCAGATCACGGGAGCTCCTTTACAAAGAAAGCCAGACGGCATGCCCCCGTCAATGGAGACGCATCGACAATAACATTCAAAAGGATCAGTCGACCAATCGTCGCCGCCATCAGTGCTGCAGCGATGCCAGATGCGACATTTTCGGGAGTTCAATTCGACATGCAGCTGCTGTTGAAAGTGAGTCTCTCTGTGGCTGGGGTGCTGCTGGTTTCGTGGGCTTACAAGTTCTACAGCTCCAGAGAAGAAGAGAATATTCAGCTCTGCGTCAAAGACAACAAAGACACGGACAATGCAACCTGCCAAAACTGCAAGGCGATACTCGGATGTCGAAGCCCACCAAAACATCCCACCGATGATGGGACGGACGAGCAACCCGGACCCTCGGACACCGACTCAGCAAGTGATAACCGGACATCTGACGGCACCGGGGGCACGCCGGCGGAAGCTCGTCCTGACCAAGCTGAAAAGAAAAAGGAGGCATTTAGTATGTCATATACAACCCGGGATATCAGCATGAAAGGAGAGAAACTCCATCGTCAGGAGCCGGCCAGTAATATTTCATTTGGATCCGCTTTGAACTTTCCTTATCCAACTGAGAGTGGGATGGTCAGTGCAACGGGGCGCCGCTCCCCTTGCTTTTTTCAGAAGCTGGAGGGCAGTGTGGGTGTGGGCAGGGAGTTACGGCAGGACTTAGAGCGCCAGGGGGCCTTCTCCAGCTTCCTCTCCAAGGCAGAGATCAAGGTGGAGGATGCGAACGTTGTGCGGGAGGGAACGGGAGACCAGATTGTGCGCGGAAAAATATATGATTACTATGTTGAGTCGTCCTCTCACTCAATAACAGACTCAAACACCGCTCTGGCTCAGTATGAGAGAAACTGCCAGTCACAGTCTGTGGAGCTTGGAAGTCGTGGCAGCAGCCTCAAAGAATCCCCATCCCCTCTGAGCGCCATCATCATGCGTGATCTGGTTTTACCACAAGGCACTGTTGAAGCTCCCTCCTTACCGGGAAGCCTAAAACAGAGGCCACCCGCAAGGCCGGTACTCCTACGCAAAGAGAGCTATCTGTCTGCAGCAGAGCAGTCGGAGCTTTCCATCCCCTCTCTAAATACGAGAGCCCCAACCAGCAATGAGTCCATCTCTCACTCAACCGGCAGTAAAGGCTTTAATGTGGAAGAGGAGGAAGAGACTGCGGCAGCATATTTACTGCCTCCAGCCAAAACTCTCGACGGCTCAGATTTGGAAAGCTTGAAGAGTAAACTGCATCTGGGTAATTGTTTAGAGACGCTGTGTCTGGCCAAGACACATGGCTGGACCTCCGTGCGAAAAGCTGCCCTGGGAGTCATGTCTGACAACTACCTCCAGGTTCTCAGGGACCCCAACCTTTATGGGCGGCTAATGGCTGGCGAGAGGGAGCAAATCCAGAAGCAGAGGATGAGAGGTAGAGGGTTTCTCATGGCGGCAGACATGGACCCTCAGGACTGGGGGAGGAACGCCGGCGGGCGGGCGCAGGACGCTGAGCAGAGGAGGACGTCCAGTGCGGTGTACTATTATGATGACCACAAAGACGCCTGGCATACACTCTGCCCGATCCCACAGGAGGCCATCTCCAAAGCCTGTGCCATGTGCACAATGGATAACTACTTGTTTGTGGCGGTGGGCTGCCAAGGCACGGAGAGAGAAATGACACCCTCAAAGCGAGTGTTTTGCTTCAATCCACTGACATCAATTTGGAAGGAGATCAGCCCTATGAATGAAGCCAGGCCCCGCTGCAAACTGGCAGCGCTGAAGGGCTACGTCTACGCCATCGGAGGGGAGTGCCTCTCCTCCGTGGAGCGCTACGACCCGCGATTGGACAGATGGACATTTGTGGCTCCGCTGCCCAATGATACGTTTGCCGTGGCGCATCACGTCACAGTGAGCAGTGGGGAGCTTTTTGTCTCTGGGGGAACTCTTAGATATATGCTGCTGCGTTACAGCCCCAAAACCGACTGCTGGAGGCCCAGCCTGTTGGTAGGCAGCAAGGACAGAACTGCAGACATGGTCGCCGTGGGGAGATTTCTGTATCGGTTCGACGTTAACCCACTGCTGGGAGTCAGCGTGTACCGCTACCATACGGTGGCGCGGCTGTGGTACGAGTGCAGCTCCAAGAGGCTTGAGCGCTGCCCCGCCTTCCAGTGTGTCATGTTCGGCGGCACAATCTATTGTGTCAGCCGGCAGCTCACCATGAAGTTCGACGCTGACGAGGTCTCCCCAGGTTTCAAAGATGAGAGTATGAGCGTCCTCTCTGCAGCAAAGGGCATACTTTTCCCTTTTGTTCTTTCGCTCCCTGACAAAAAGCCTCGACAGACCAGTGTGTGATGAGGATTCAGTTTTGCTTTGGTGATAAGATTAGGTGCTAATGGAGTTTCACAACAACAGCATGCTTTTACGTCAAGTTTCTAGTTGACCGATTGGGTTTTACTGGATATACTGTGTTGACCTTTCTTTGAGTTATAGAAAGCCTCTTCTATTTCAAACGTAATATCTGGGATTGGGTGTGTTCCTTACGTCTGTGCCCCTGTCAGTAGATGCAAAGTATTAGACTCCTAATGGCAGCCAAACTACTGTTTGCTTAGATTTACGGAGGAGCTGCCATGTAAATTGTTTGCTTCTTTGATTTGCCACTCCCTCCTGCCATTAAGTCAGTTTTATATCATCCCGGATGCTTAACCTCTTTGGATAATTCATGAATAAGTCTTGCAGTAAATTAGCTCATTCAACTCAAACACATTACAGGGATTGAGCAATATAGTGGTAATCTATCACTGTGCTCCACTGTGTAAGACACACATCATTTACGCAGTGGCCTGGATACAATGCAATCATCTACAGTTGCTCTTTAAATATGACAAGATGAAAATGGATCTGTCACATAATGTGAATAGGTGGACTTCTTAAAGCATTTGTCATTGCTTTTGACTAAAACGTGTTGTTTTGTGGATTTTAGTCACTCTCCTTCAAAGGCCAGAAAGAAGCGTATTTGTTTTAAAGATGACTGAGCGGAGTCCTACTAAACCTACCGACCTACTAAACCTATGTGTTTGTTATCTATTGTTCTATAAACATCAAAAGAAATAAATGAATGCCATCCATTGCATATTAATTCACAATAAATGAACATAGGTAAGAAACCAAATGTCTATTCAAGTATTTGTTTGACCTAGAACACAACACTTGTATTTTGTGTTGAGCAATTACATTGAAGTGGAGATGCGCATAAGAATCATACAAGTGATACTTGTTTTCATCACTAATCAAGTTTTTCAATGTAACGCTGAGGGCGCTGACAGGTACGAGAGAGTGACATGCTGCTACAGCGCCATCATGTGGCTCGCAAGTCAACCTCAGCGGCGCGTCGGGTGAAGACACGTTGAGCTCTTCCCGCGGCAGCGAGGCGCCATGTGAGGTGCAGGAATCGTCAAACGCTGAGCGAGAGAGGAAGGCAGCAGGCGGGCGGGGCGGGGGAAAGGGAGTCGGGCGCAGATGGTTGACCATCAAACGTGAGCATCTTTGCTGCTCCCTAATTAAACACTTTGATCCCCTGTAACAAAACACCAAATGAAACAGGAGATGAGACACTTCAGATGTGACCTGGGATGACTTCAAATCCAGGTCAGTTATGGCATCGACACATGTTGGATTTATTGGTTTATATTTCCTACAGAGGGTAATACCAACGGCTCAGTCTACGTTTCACATATCCAGTGTGCGGGGAGAGGAATAATAGCATGTAATTATTCTCTGGAAGGGCGGACGTAGTTTTTAGCGCTTTCCTTTCTCTGCGTTGACAAAAACAAAACATGTATCCATATATGTACTTTCTGCAACTCAACACACGACACACAGTAAATTCACAGCAGTCCACCCAGCGGCATAATCAGAATCATGCTGAATTCTTTTAATTACTTTTTCAAAAGGATTTCTCTAGGGGGGTCGGGGGGGGGTTCTCTTTCATGTAGCTAATACCCAAGAGAGGAACCATACAACCAAAATTACAGAGAAATCACCCAAGCAGCATGGGAGGCAATTCATAATCCACATTGTTGTGATTGGGGAAGTGGACTCCAACAACGATCTGGGGCTTGTAGTAGCGAGCGCCGCCTCAGATTCAGGTCCTTGTTGCCGTGATTGGCGTCATGGAGGTGGCTGGAGAGCGTGCGCGGAGCCCGTGCAAAGCGGCTTCGGCAGAAGGCGCTAAGTGGGAGCCTCTGGTATGCCGACGTGTACACAGTCTGTCCTGGGAGGAGCGACTGCTGCTTTTCCAAACGCAAACTCTTTGTGGACTGCGGCGGGCCAGAGATGGTTGGAAGGGCTATAAAGGCGCAGAGAAGAGAAAGTTAACGGCCATGTTACTGCAAGCATTAATTACACTGGTGACTGATTTGGCACAATAAAAGGCATCTGGGGCAACCCACACTTATCCACTCATGAGCACAACTGCCGATGTGTTACGTCCATACGAAATCAAATACACCCAAGTAGGTTCGCTCTGTGCTGCTGCCGGGATGGTTTGAATATCTATGAGTATCACCATGTATAATAATACGATATGATAATTACCAGAAATTGGCCGTTTGGACCTCTCAAGCTGCCGTGTCAAGCTGTCTGGATGCCAGGGTCGGTTGTTGGTGCGCTTTCGCTGGTAGCTCTCTGCATAGTGCGTGACCAAGTAATGAGAGGAGGGTGAGCGATCGTGGCCAAAAAGCAGCTTGGATGGAAGCCCCTGGAAGACATTACGCAGTGGTTTCAACAAAGTCTGGATTAAGATTAAAGGACATGACCCGCCCTTTTGCAATCGTTTTCAAGGGGCTCAACGCGTGACAGCAGTGAAATTGCTCTAACTAGCCTTTAATCGCCCGGAAGGAATGATGATTGTACACATTTTTGATGACTGCTGAGTCCGAACAGAAACTTGCCTCTACAAGAGGGTTTTATCACGAGTCTTTATCATGGACGTCAATATTGTGCAGAATCTAGAGAAGAAAGCCCTGACTTGCAGGGTCGTGGCAGGCATTCGATTGGTGGTAATGGCGTGAATGAGCAATTAAAAGGCTAACCTCAGCTCTCAGCAGGGCAGCTCTCCTCTCAGAGACGTCTGGATGGAAGTCCCAGTGGGGCCGGTGGTCCACACGACTGGTGCTGTTTGCCGTCTGTGGCTCCCGCGTGAACTGCGTGGGAGATAATAAACAAACGTGGCAAAGAGGAGAGGGAGGGGGGGGGGGGGGGCGCGTTTACAGGGAATCATCAGCAAAGCTCACACCTCGCAATCGATTTCCACGCTGTTGTACAGTGTTTTTAAAGCCATTGCTCCTCTCCAGATCCTGGACCAGCAGCCCGTGGCCGAACCTGCCGTGGGTCGATGCAATTAGTCTCCGGCTCTCGCCTCTCCCAGCAGGAGACTGTGCTGAGGCAGCTGAACGGAGGCTGCCTAATCACTTTGCTATAGATTTAACTACCAACAGAGGTGCTACAAAACCATCGGCAGGCCGCCAACCCCAAAGAAAAGGCTTTGGATAATCTGTGACCTCGCATTCAATTGAAGATGTACGCCTGAATCAGAACGTCTTATTTTGACACTCACATAAAAGCCAAAAGAGTCAATGAGTGGACAGAATGCCTACCTGAAGTCTTTCTTCTGCCCAGTTGCCTAACAGCACTTTGTTTGAATATTTCTGCTCTATCCTCCAGCCCGGTTGGGCCCATTTATCCTTTACTGTCCCTGTTTGGTTCATGCTTACCTGGTGTCAAACCCACATTACCGGGGAAAGTCCTGTTAGAACACGGTGAGCTAATAAAACCGACAGCATGTAGGTGCTTCCACCTGTTCCCATAATGGTAAAGGCGGTGGAGGGGAAATAGAAGAGCTCTGTTGCTATGGATACAGCAAACACTGCAAGGGAAGGCAACCTGAGTATCCTGAAGGCACACGGGAGATGTCTCACATCTGTGTTGAAAAGTGATACAGTCCTTAAGACTGAGGAGTTTACTTTTTAGCAGTATACTGAAAATTGCATCCGAAATTGCTTGCAGACTCTGTGGCCGCTTGGTGCTTTTCATTAGGGATTAAAACAGGTTTTGTTTATTAATGTGTGTGTGTGTGTGTGTAACGGGGATTGTCTTCTGTGTACTATATACTTTCAATAAAAGGCGAAAACTCAAGTCAAGTTTTATTTATTTCAATGTAAAAGCGAATGGAAAGCAGAATAAAATACATGATCTTCACAGTGTTCTCATGTAGTCAACGACACTATCCACAACGTGCGCTGCGGAGGGAAAAGTGAGCCAGCCGTGGTTGAAAAAGTTAATTACGCCGTGAAAACCGTCCGCCACGTGTCGCCAGGTGACATCCTTTTTCAAATCCAGCAGCCGTTTCCTGTAAAGAATCCCGTCGTCCCTCAGGACGTCATACTCGCAGGTGAGGATGAAGGTGGGAGGCGTTTTCCTAACGGCCGCATCATCCGCCAGTAAAGGGGAGACTTCATGTTCCAAACCCGCTTTGATTGCGTGATACACCTCCGCATCGTATTGCGCGGTTGCGATCTCACTGTGGCCCCGCGCAAGAAATTCAGGTGGGAGGTTGGAAGGGGAGAGCCACTCCTTATAGCTTGGCTTGAGCTCAGTGGGAACATGGATCCCTTCCAACAAGTCCTGGCACAAAGACACGTCGCCATTGAGGTATTGCAGGAAGTAGAACGCCATACGGCCACGAAACAATATGGGCACAGCGTGATTTTGCTGGTATGAGGGCAGGTTGAAATCCGCCATCTGCAGGGTCGGGTAGATGAGAACCTGAGCGCAAGGGAATGGCAGACGTCCAACCTCCGTCCTCGCCAGCCTTTGGCACAGCGCTGCTGCCATATTGGCGCCAGTGCTGTCGCCTCCGACCGCCACTCTGTTAGCGTCCACGCTAAACTCTGCCTCAGCCACAGACAGGAAGTGACACAGCGCTGTCTCACAGTCGTCCAGCTGGGCAGGGTACCTGTGCTCGGGGGCTAATCGGTACCTGAGAGGGAAGACGGGGGAGACGATGTGTGAAATTTTGGCTCTTTGGAAGACAAAACTAGTGTGGATATTTGTGTTAATTCAAAAGGTTAAGTACCCAACAGAAACCACGGTGGTTTCTGACTCCTTGGCGATGTGCCGACAGACTTCATCAACCGAATCTGTTCAGGATCGGCAGGGCATCACAGTTAGCAAAAGATGGGTTTGGGTGTTTTAAATGACGCAACCAAGCACTGCAGGCAGAACGTGACGGCCTCTGTTTCTCTCTCATCCTACACTCGTCTCCTTTTGGGTATTCAGAGAGCACGATGATGACACTGATGGAAAAGACAACCCTTTTGTAGTTCATTTTAAAAGGTCCAAACGTTTGAGACCTGACCAGAATTTGTGTTGAAAATATGTTCTTATCAACTGCATGTAAAGTGGTGCCAGCGTTGGCACCAAGTCAAGATGTCTATGCATCGCGGTGCAGAACAGATATGAGCACGCTAACCAGCTGGCCCCTGGACCGTCTCATGAAGATAGATTACACATAACAGTTGTTGTATAGTTGTTTTTTCTATAAGAATCACTATAAATTTTGATTTTATGGACCCAGTAAATATTTAGAGCATATGGCGAGGTATTACAATTTTATTCATACTTTGACTCTAATAATCTTCTGTGTTTTTTCCTTCTCATTGGGTTGGGGAAATTGTTAAAGATCAAACCGCCTAACAGTATTTAAAAAAAAGCCAGATCACCTGGACATTATACACTTCAGCAGTGATATAATAATAATCATTTTAAGTCCTTGAGTCACATCTACAAAGACCTGCTCAAGGCCAGAACTACAAAAGGCCAGGAACTTACTATTCAAATATTCTTATGCTACTGATGATTTATTTTCAGAATTTGTTTAGAAATATAAACAAGCATAAACATCAGATGACCAACAACGGTATATTCAAATACATAAACAATGTTTTTATGCCTCTAATTCAAATTTCTCTGTGATGTATTAATGTATTATTCAGATACTGTAGCTTCAAATGCACTTTAATGCGTTGTATTCATACTATTACTTATGTAAATGATGGCCTACCTATATTGCCCAACACCCATCCTCCTCCATGGAAATACACCAGACCTCTTCTCAAGCCGTCACACATGGCGGTGGGTTCGTAGAGCCGCACTGGAACCTCAGAGAACTTTAGGTCCTTCACTCGCAGGCCCGCTGGAACCGGACGCAAGCGAGTGAGAAAACAGGCCACAAACCACCGGACGAAGTTGACCTGCTGACAAATACCCAGGCGATCAAGTATCCGGCCCTTTGAGGAGAGAAACCACAGACAATGTTTCAAACAAACAACTAAGATAAATGTTTTTGATAGGTAAAGTCAAACAGAAAGTTATTCTCTTGCAAGACCATATTTACTATGACAACATCAAAGAAAGGGAACACATGACCTTGCCTCTTTTTACTCCTTTGTAAGGCTTGATATCTTATCTAACATTTCTCTGATCTACGCTTTATCAGTTGCTGGAGGACAAAGAAAGGACAGCCATCTTAAACAAAGGGCACCAAAAGAGCTTTTTGTCTTCTTTCCCCTCGCACAAGCAGATGAATTATCCGTTATTACACGCTAAGCAATAAGTTTAGTCATAAACCAAAAAGTTAATTGGAACATAAGCCGAACATGAAGGGCACATAAATGAGCCAGATACTCACCACAATTGCTAAGCCAACAAACAGGCCGTGGACCATGTGCAGTTTCCCACTATTTGCAACCCCACGAGGAATGTCTGAGTTCATCAGCTCGGCGTACACAAGTCCAATTACCAGAAGGAGGAAGGCTGCAACGAGAGCGGCGAAGCCAATTATTAAAATTGCTGTTCCGATGTCCATGGCGTTGCTTGTCTGCTCCGTCGGAGGTGAGTCATTAGGAGTAAATGTTTTATCTACCTGCTTTCAGCCTCTTTCCACCCCTCCCACATCCGCTCGCAGTGCATTTTGACCTTGGTTTTGCTTAATGGCGTTTGGCTGGCTGTTACCCAGAAAGAAATAATTATATTCTTCATATTTTATGGCTGTGTAGTCAAAGTAATTACATGTTTCCCAAAGAAACCGGGTTGTCTCAATATGGAATATTTCACATAGCTTTTTATGTTAATAGAGCACTTTTGTAATTGCCATGGTACCCATTAAGTTGCCTTTCAATCCCTGGCAATATTTCCCCAGATATCTGAGGGTCGTTATCTTTTTCGCCTGCTTCCTTTCTTGCCTCTGGTGTTGAGGGAAGATCAGCTGCACTCGGCGAAGAAGAGTGGCCTTTTCGTTGTCTGGTATCTAAGGCAGAAAAATGTCCCGACGTGCTCCCGGTGAGGGCTGGATGAGAGCACCCTTATCTGAACTTTCACAGCTGATCTGTAGATGGCAGTGATAGCATGAGTATAAATAATCAGTGCTTTCAGAAATATACACTATTTACATGTTTTCCATTCTGCGGGCAGCCTACATGCATTTGCCACTGAGTGGGATGTATATCTTTATAACTTTCATTATTCTCGGTTTAGCAAATCCACAAACTGATGGTCAGTTTCAACTGGGAACATTTTGTTAGGCCTAAATCTTCTAATGCAACTTGACTTTGGCTTCACGTTTTTGAGAAAATGTCCAAAAGGGAAGATCGCATCTGGAGTCGTGTCGTCCGGGAGTGTTTTTAGCAGCTCCCCCCCCCCCCCCCCATCCGAGAGCCTCTCTGCCTTCACCAAGTAGCTGAGCCCAGCACAAAGCAACCATTGTGAGGTCTCTCTTAAAACCCGTCCCAGTTGCTGCAAAAGCACCAGCATTCAGCGATACCCCGTAAAAATCACAGTGCCAGGGCCAGGAATCACAGACTGGAATCTTGTCTGGGGCTGGCGAATTCATGTGATTAGTTTAGGAGGTATTCAGGCAGTTTTCGGTCTGTCACCCAGCCAAGCTTCTGAGACACAGTTGACCTATTTTTGCCAAATTGTACCGTCACACGCAGAAAGATACAGTGCGTCTGAAAAAACAACAACAACAGCCACAACAAATTAGGTTCAAAAGACCGATGTGGCTCTGCACAGGCCTGAAGGAGGCCACTCCAAATACCCCCAAATTAAAATAAACACGTTCCCTTGGTCAAATATAAACCCTGCCATGCTGAATGGAAAGCATGGCAAATGCTGAAAGCTGTAATTCATCAGGTCAATGCTTGATTTCCTAATCGATCGACCTATCTATCATGGGCCTATCTCGGTTTCTGATTTGCGTGTGTTTGTTTAGTGCTGAGCTGATTAGTTTGTTTGCTTGTTTCTTTTCCATAATTAATAGGGGGACTCGGGGGAGTGAGAATGTGTTAACCTCATTTTTATGTAGCCTTGACCAAATACCTCTCGCACCTGGAACTCTTAATGGGTCGGCTGTTGATCCTGCTGTTATTGACTTAGAAGTTCAGTGGGGCCAGTTGTTGAAACATCATTGCTGTTCGACCGGTTTAAGTTGATAAACCGCAGACTTTTCCAAATAAGATTGGCCACCCACCTGGGACCCTGCGTTGCGACCACTGTGAGGAGAAGGGAGGGCATGGAGGGGTTGCACAGATTGAGCACCACCTATGTAGACAAGTGAAGGGGGTGGGTGGGAAAGAAGCAAGCAAGCAACCACTCGGGGCAGACTGGCTCTGGAGCAAATAATACTCATCCCCACTTAACATGTCAATCAGGATTAATGCCCTCACAAACCTCCCCTCTGGGTTCACCCAGGTCCTTTCACTGGTGCGAGCAGCGGGAACGGGGCAGAGGCGGCCGTATAAAAAAGGGCAGGACTGGGGGGGGGGGGACAGGAACACAACACCAGACCCACAGCGGCGTGAGCAGCGCGCACCGCGGAACTCTCTGCAACCCCGAACCAGCGGGGGACCCAGTGCGCACTGAGCCCCGGAGCGGGATGCACGTCGGCTGTCATGCGTCCTGCCTTTCATTAAAATAGTCACCGCGCACGAGGATCACTCGTGCAACCGTTTCCGAGGCAGCAGACGAGGTTGTTTTTTTTGCATGCGGATAAAAGTCTCGCCAGCAGCAGCAGCAGCAGCAGCAGCAGCAGCAGGTCTCGAGTCGCCGGTTCGTGCACGCAGAGCCGCCCGCGCGCCCTCTCCGCCATGGATCTGAGGAGCGCGTGTCGGATGTGCCTCTTCCCGCTCCAGATGTTCTACTACGTGCTGCGAGCCGGCTTGTTTTCGCTGCTGCCCAGCAGAAGGAAGGACCTGGCCGGGGAGGTGGTACTGATCACCGGCGGGGGACGAGGCATCGGACGTCACCTGGCCAAAGAGTTCGCCAAGCAGGGGGCCAGAAAGGTAACTTGGTCTCACTTCAACTTCGTCTCTGCTTCTTTATTTTGTGTCAAATGCAGTAGTACCCCCCCCCACACACACACACACTCTCCCCTCCAACCGCGTCTCAGGTAGCGGTCCTGTCCACCGCTGCCCCACGTGCATTGCAGTTCCATACAAACGGAGGGGTCATAACCTCTGAGTAGCCCAGTTGGACCAGTGCGACCGGAGACGTGCCCTCAGCTTTGGTTCAAGTGTTGCACAACAGCTTGGGTCAACCAGAGGACAGGTCCAGGCAGCCCGTATGGCTGATTGATGTGATTGGGAGCAGTGCGAAAGGTTTGGGTGATTCTTGTCTGGCAGTGTATTACCCAACGGATGTAGGCTGTGGTAAATGTTTTCAATGTGTGTGTGTTGGGGGGGGGGCAAAGTGTCACTGAAACTCCTTCAAAAGTCCCTCAAATAACAACAGCCCCGAACCGCGTCGTAAAATCTGGCAGAGTAACAACCCCAGAAAAGGCCACATAATCCCTTTAATAAAAGCCAGATTAGTTTGTTTTTTTTGAGCACAACATGAGGACCTGATTTGCCTTTTTTTTATGGAGAGTGTTGCAAAACTAAATGAGCAAAGACAACCTCACAAAAAGAGTGATAGAGGAACACATTACGCTATCTTGGATGGGTTCAAGCAAAGGTCTGACGCAGGAACTGAAATGCGGTGTCATCGGAAGCTTGAGACGGATGATCATTTGAAATGTTTATCGCTGAAGAAATGACTCATCAGTGTTTTTCCCCAGCGGAGGCGAATTGTGCGTTCTTCCATGTTTAACCCGCGTTTCCATTACTCCTTGGAGGGGAATCAGCAGTTTTATAGTTATAAACATGTGGCATAGTTTATTTCCTGTATAGTGTATGTGTATAACCAAAGCTGACAGGACGTAAACATGGACTCAAACGGTTGCGTAGCAATGCAACTTGGTGGAAATGTTCTACAGATTTAGTTAAGATCAAGTTAGCGTGACCCATCCCATTTGGACGTGGCAACCGTATTTTGATGAACGCAGCGGTCGCTGTCCGCTCATCTACAGCTCACCTCTCAGGTAAATGTGCCAATGATTGATCTAATGGGAATCAGCATTTAATGGCACCGACGGCATTCGGTTTGCCAGTACTCGACTACATGCAATTTTTTTGTAAGTCAGACTGATCAATTGGGGACGGGGGGCGGGGGAGGGGCAGTGGGAGTGCAGGGACCTTCCACCTTCCTATCAACATTCTCACTAGAATTCACTTTGGAAGTAATTCAATCTGCCCGGCCAATTGCAGAGAATCGCCCCACTTGTCAAAGCCTTGCACCCTCCTATCCCGTCCCCTCCCTCCTGTCCCTCACTGCCCCCCCCCCTCCCACCCTCCCCCCTCCTCTCCAACAAGTCGCCGTCCCCTCAGGCCCGAGATGCCCCAGTGGTAACGTAGACGGTTCCCGTCATCACAACTCCGGTCTTGTCCGCGAATTTCGGTGGAATTACGCAGCTGCGTGTCCCTTCAGCAGTTACGCGTTGAGTCGCTTCTATTTCTGATCACCTCAGACGGACGAAAGTGGAGGTGACTTCCCGGGGTAAAAATATCGGGCTGCCGGCTCCGGGTGGTATTTATCTGTACATGTGTGACACGAGCTTCACACCTCCGATGTTCTCCTCGGGGCGTGACTTGAACAACACTTTCTAAGAGCTCATTGAAACACTAACTGCCTTTGCCTCCGTCTTTCAAGGCCGTCTCCTGCGGGAACGAGCAAGGAGAAACCAGGAGGGTTTTAAAAGCTTTACTTCTGCAGCTGCACAACAAAGGAGGTCGCCGTGCTTTTCAGGGACCCCATTGTTGGCTATTCTCTAGGTGTGAAGGCATTGAAAACAACACCTGTGGTAACGTGTAGGACAATTACTCGCCTTAAGAGATGCTAAAAGGGGGCTAACCTCCACGAACTCGCGCTGACCCCAGTTTGAGGCCCTTTGCGATTGTCAGCCGGTATTTCCTTTCTTACCTCCGTCTCTGGCTGTTAGCGGGGAAGCGTTGCCGAACGCAGCCCTGAAACAATAAACCAGACCAAAGCTTTCCTCAAAACACCCGCGTCCAAGTTCAGAGGCCGCCGCGAGAATGCGCTTTCAGAACGGCGCCAGCGAAACCGTCTGAGCGGCATATTTCTTCAAAGCCGAGTGCTTTGTAGCACACGACGACAACTGCAAAAGTCTAAAAAGCCACTTTGATTTTTATGTGGTTGCAAACTCAACACGGAGAGCGACCACTGCGAGGGAGATGAATCCGACCGTGGCGCCGGAGACAGGTTTGTGGAGGGAGGACGGTCTGTGGTGGGGGGGGGGGGGGGGGTTGATATGTTGTGCTGCAAGCGGGAAACACACCGCTCCCAGCTGGGTGTTGCCCCGCAGCTGACCTTGCTGTCTCTGCAGTAATTAGACAGCGGCAGGCGACTGCCTCCTGAACTCCCGCTGCCCCCATGTGTGCGCGCGCTGCGTCTCCGCCGGCCCGATACAATGGGTGTGAGGAGGAGGGTTCCTACCCAGCCAACGCATTCAGACGCTGGGAGGTAGTGTCGCTGCAATCCATTAGCAGTGAGGGGCACCTGCGCTGGCGCTCTCCCTCGGGGTCTCGTTCCCACCTCATTCATTTGTCGATTACGGCGCCTTTTTACTCGTGTTGCCGTTGGAGTGCTGTTGAGGCGCACGCAGTTAGAGCAGTCGCATGTTTATCACTGAGAGTGAAGGGAAGGGCGGGGAGGCTTTCGCGAGGTCAATAAGAAGAAGAAGAAGAAAAAAAAACTTGTTTACTTACTGTTTCTATCCAAATTGCAATTTGGCCAAGCGTTGTTTGTTCTGGGGGCCAGGGTGTGTTTTGACGGGTGATAAACCTAATTAATTAAATAACATTTTAACAGGAGAGCACAGTGAGAGTGCTGGCTTTTAATGAGAGCTGTCAGCCTTGTTTGTAAGGCTCAAATCCCATTAAAAGCTTTCGGTTATTCATCAGGACCTGTCTGCCTTCATTGATTACTCAAATGGGGCTTGCAAATGAAGCAAACAGAAGAACAAAACAATCAAAAGTAACTCAGAGAAGGTTCACAGAGGGAGCCAAAGCCGTGTTGCTTTGGATCTGATGAAGGAAAAAGAACCTATTCAAGAGCGTGATCTTGGATTTCACCTCGAACTTTATTATAGAAGGAATTAGCAACAGGAATTTGTTGATTTTTCCATTTTTAATCGACGTTGGTTAGCAAGTGACATCATGTCATTGCTAAAAGATTGGCTGCTGGTAAAGATGATCATAATCATCTACCGCTACTGAACCCCTGCAAGGGCCATGCTCGCTTACACGTGTGCATGTCACACACACACACACATCCGTTTCCATACTCCAGATCACTTTTTGCTCGAATATTAACCTTGGTTGTGGGCGACCAGCCAAATCCCACACCGCCGTCCTCAGCCCCTCAGACAGAGCTGGTTTGAGGCTCCCTGACCAGAGATGACGGGGCTCATCTGCCCGACAGGCCGTGTAATCTCTTCGAGAATTTGTGTTTGAGAGATGAGGAAGGGCTCACCCCCTGATTTCATTACCTTTCCCCGACCCCGAACACTGACAGATCTAATTGCCCAATCACTACTCCCCCACCCCCGCCCAACCCCGCGTTTCCCTGCTCGAATGACCGGCCTTCATTTAGGCCCCCGGGTGGACAAAGAGAATTCATTCACACGGCGACCCCCGGGGCCTGTAATCTTTGTGGTAAACTATTTGTTGGAGTGAAAATGACCTGTCCTGTTCTCTAGACGAAAAGAGCCTCCGCAGTTGTTTGTCACTGACTAAATAAAACCCTTTTCCTTCACGTTTGACTCTGACGCTTTTGTTGTTGTTGTTGTTCTAGGTCATCCTGTGGGGCCGGACAGAAAAGTGCCTGAAAGAAACAGCAGAAGAGATCTCTCTCTCCGGAACAGAGTGCCATTACCTTGTGTGCGATGTGGCCAATCGGGAGGAAGTATACAAGCAAGCAAAGGTTGTTCGAGAAAAGGTACGACGGCTCAGTATTCATGGAGATATTTCCACTGGCACCGAGAGAAATATTGTTTTTACGTGGTGAAACGCAACACAAGATATTTCTCTCTGCCGCCTCTGCATGTATATTGGCTCTGAGCCGCTCTGTCTCCCATCTGGTGTGCACATTAAACTTCAACTGTGGTACCTGAATAAAGCACGACCGCACGACTGTATCGCCTCCCGTGACGGAGAGCTCCTTTAAAAGCGTCGTTGCTCTTTCATCCAAGGTGGGCGACGTCTCCATATTGGTGAACAACGCCGCTGTCGTCCACGGAAAGACTCTAATGGAGAGCGACGACGACGCCCTTCTGAAGTCCCAACACATCAACACCCTGGGGCAGTTCTGGGTAAGAGCGGCGGAGGCCGGGGCATTCCTCATTCCGCACATTTTCCTCGTAATGCCTTTGATTGTGTAATGGAATTATGCACAGAAGGCATGCCCAGACGTGTCAATTATCACCGCTACTAACGCTGGTTAAGTGGGGTATTTCCAAATTACCTCTCAGCCGCCGAAAACATCAGAAGGATTGTGAAACTCATGGCATCCCAATTTCGAACGGAGATCAAAAGACATAGTGGAAGGAAGACAGAAATGCAATTATCAACTAAATGGAAATAGAAATGGAAATTTAATCTGAGGGGCCTTTTTTTTCCTCCTGTCTGTTCGTCTTTTTACTCCACTGAATATAGATCACCTCCTATTTCCACGCTTTCTTCCCCCTCGTCCTCGTCCTCTGACTGTCCCTTTTTTTTTTTTTCCCTTTCCCCAAGACCATTAAAGCCTTCCTGCCCCGGATGCTGGAGCTGCAGCACGGCCACGTGGTGTGCATAAACTCCATCCTGTCCCAGTCGCCCATCCCGGGGGCCATAGACTACTGCACCTCCAAAGCCTCGTCGCTGGCCTTCATGGAGAGTCTGACGCTGGGGATGCTGGACTGTCCCGGCGTCGGCTGCACCACCGTGCTGCCCTTCCACACCAACACGGAGATGTTCCAGGGCTTGAGAGTCAGGTAGTTGTCAGCGAATGAGTCGCGTATCCTCCGTAACGAGGCGCTCCCTGATTTGACCAGAAGGACCGTCGCTTTGTCTTCTTTTGAAGGTTCCCACAGCTATTTCCACCCCTCAAACCGGAGGTAGTTGCTCAGAGGACCGTTGATGCAGTCAGAGCCGACAAGGCCTTCATCTACCTGCCCTGGACCATGCATGCCCTTGTCATTTTAAAAAGGTAAAATAAGAACCTCATTTCCAAAAAAAAAAGATTGCCCTGTTTTCACTCGTTGTCTAACGCCTTGTCCCTCGTTTCTTTTAGCTTCATGCCACAAGTTGCACTTGAAGAAATCCACAGGTTTTCTGGGAGTTACACCTGCATGAACACATTCAAAGGGAGGACATGAACCTGGATTGCACACAATGGGAGAGAGACCTAAACCGCTCTGGTGTTATGAAGGGAATATGGACCTTGAGACGTCTGGAAGCGGAAGAGGCCCCCCGCCATAGTGGGAAGACAAATACTTAGGGAAGACATGCAAGGCGGTTGCTCCTGCAGGTAGAATTAAATCGATAAACTGCAGGATACGCCCTGGTCGCATTTTTTTGTGTGTTTGCGCGTGTGTGTGTGTGCATATGTGTACAGTATGTTGGACTGAATGCCATTCTTACTTTGAACAGAAGCCATGAATAGGTCCTCACCAGTAGTTATTCTGGAAGTTTTTCCGCGACACCTCTTTTAGCCGTTTTTTTACACTTTCTCTCATTTTAATGTCTTTGAATCCAAACCAGATAATAAAAAAACAGAGTTTTAGAAGACACACTGTGTTTCTTTGAGCATGTTGAGAAAACAGAAGCTCACACGTGGTCTCGTGTCGGGGGTTTTGACTCCCATGGCCGTCTGAGAGCACTTTTGATTTATTCCAAGCATGAGATCAGTGACCGGGACGGGCGATGTTGTCAAAACATAAAACATACGCTCAGGGGGGGCAAGTGTATTCCTGCCTGTTCTCCGCCGTCAGAAAAGGGTGAAGGGGGAACGGTATAAATCCCCATAAACGTCATGAACTCGGAACAACCCGATCGGGACCTCCTCCTCTCATGTGCACAGGGGTCTGAGTTCTGTTCAATTACAACAACTATTACGCCCTTAAATAAGAGCAGTCATCTGAAAAAAGCTATAAAAGCTATTTTTCTGTGCCCTTATGAAGATGAAAACATATCAAATGTGGTTTTGTTAGCTCGGCTCGCACTCATATAAATGTGAGGAGGATAATATTCCAGAATAAAAAAAGAGACGGTATGGAGCTCTTTTCACTTCATATGAATCTGAACATCTCCCAAGGCTTCGGCTTTGTGTAGCAAGCATTAGTGTAGACTTCAGATTTTTCAATGTACCACGTTGGTACTTCACCGGCACGATACGATGTCAGGCAGCTGTGTGTCCATGGCAGGCCGCTTTGCGAGATGCCAAAGGTTGGATTTACCATTCTTATCTGGAAATGTCTTAATAGTTCAGTAAATGCAGCACATTTTAGAAAAAGTGACTGTGATTTTATTCATTGTTATTAACACTTAAGGACACCAAACTTAAAAAAATGAATACCATTTCGATAATAACATCTAATTATGAGAAGTGAGCATCGTAGCGTGTAATTATCATCTAGCCCTAAAAACTAGTGTGGCGTGCGCCCGGACTTAGACCGATTGTGTGTGGTTAAAAGACAAACAATCCCTTACAATGAGCTCTTACCTTTGCTGTTGTTTGTGACGTTGGTCTTTAATAAAGGTCATATACTCTGACCAGCGAGCAAAAGAACAACCGATTCAGGTTACACTGCTCAACATTATCTTAAGGCCATTAGGGATCATGAGCAGCAATAAAATAATTAATTTCCCTCGGGGAGGGGGGGGGGGGGGGGGGGGGGGGGTCACATCACAGAGGGTAAAACATGGAATCAGAAGACACTCATGTTTAATGAGATGAGACTAAAATCTGACCACATTATTAACGGTTTATCGCAGTAAAAGAAGAGGCCCGTGGTAGAAAAGTACCTTTCCTGCATTTTTGGAAACACGGTTCTCATTACCAGCAGACAGCACATTTCATTCATCATGGTGCTCCGACTGCTCCTCCTGAGACTGCAACGGGTATATTTAGATCGGAGCAAAGAGCAATGGTCAGGGGAAATGCAACGGAGCGCAGATTTCTGCTTATCTCTGGGCTCTGCTGACACCCCCACGCTGCGTGGTTAATCATGAAGCCGGTAATCTTTAACGTGGAACACAATAGCCAGCATGGTAATGAATACAGAAGCTAAATATAGAAGATTATGAAACCAGCCAACATTGACGGGACGGGACGTGACAGTGAAACGTGACTTTAAGAAAGACACATGAACTCCCTGCGGCAAGGCGAGCACACACGGTGCACATGCACTAAGAACGTTCTCTCCTCAACCCCGGGTAAAAGGGACGGATCCAGAGGCGCACACACTCCGAACCTGTGCACAAGTCGAAGCAGGAACAAATCAGCCGAGGCGAACCCATGAGAGTGGCCGTAAAAAAAAAAAGCCGCCATAGTACCTGGCCTTTGGCTGGCAGACAAGGCTCGTAAACAATCATTTCGGATCCCTCCTGGGCACTCACGACAGGGCCGCGCATTGTGATCACTGTAGGGGACGACCCGCACTGAGCGGGAAAGGCCGGGAGGAGAGGAGGGCCTCACTGCCGCGACTGAATCGGAGCCTCCTCCGAGGGCCTGTTTCTCATTCTCTGAGCGAGCTGTTGCGAAAGCAGAGGGGGAAGCATGTTAAGGTGGAACTAGATCGCAGAGGCATGTAGTCCACGTGTGCTGGAGAGGGAGGAGGAGGTGGAGGAGGAGGAGGGCCGGAACGGAACGGTCGGGGAATCTCATGGGGAACGGTTCAGATCAAGGTTAGCCAAACACAGAATAAATCAAAGGGTCCTTCCCCTGCTGAAGGCGCTCAGCTCCAGGGTGACTGACCAGGCGCAGGTGGAAGCCCCGGGATTTCAGTTTTGGGTCACATGTGGCTCGCTCAGCTGTGTCCACATTCCCAGGTTCCTCTGCTGGACGTTTCAATTTTATGTAGGTCAGCACCGTCGTCTCAAAAAAGGTCCAGATTGTGCAGCAAATGGAACCATCACCACAAAAACGTTAATCAAAGTTTACCGTAAATGTTTATTGGTCATCGCTACAACTTACTGCACCTTTTGCCGTGAGACAACTGGAAGAGGAGCGACAAACTCATGTGTATTTTCCCAAACATTTGTAATCTCAACGGAAAGTCGGCCTCCAATGGTCCATTAAATATATTATAGACACCCGGATCTGGAGTCCATTTGGCTTGTTGTGCAGCGATGCTGAACGCATGTAAAACCTCAGCCAGTGCAGGATTCTGTCGCTATTCGCATCACATACACTTACAGATCCTGTGACTCCCAATTCCCTGGCAAACGCTTCAGTGTGACTCCAGAGCTTAATGTGGCTCTGCTGCGTGTGATGAATGTGTAACCAAAAAAAAACCCATTGTCCTTTTCACTTCACATGTATTTGATGTTTTGTATGTATGTTTGCCCAACACTATCCTCTTAAAAATACCATCATTCATGTCATTTCTGCAGGAGCAATATTTGCCCCATTTGCACTGAAGCCCCTAATAAATATCCCCTGACTTTGCACACTGAAGACAATTGGCGTCACGAAGTACATGTGCAGTGGACCACTAAATCTCCATAAGTCTGTGAGCTCTGCGGAGCGGCGAACGCTGCCTGGAGCGAATGGCTGGATGAGCCCGAAGCCGGGCAGAAGGCACCGGGCTTTAAGTTCAGCGAGGTGTTATTTGTCACATGGCCTTATTCGCTTTCTCTGAGCGATGCCGCGAGCCCCTCTCGCCCAAGTGTCCCAGCGTTCATCCATCACCGGGCGGGTAGTATGATAAAAAGGCTCGGCCCTAACCCACAGCGGGGGGCCGGCCGCGACGCCTCAGTTGACCTGTCAAACTGTAAGAGTTATTATACACTGTGGTGTTAAAGGTCAGTGGGAGCAGCGAGCTCAGAGGGTGTCAGTCCCTCAAACACACACACACACACACACACACACACACACACACACACATTAATGTAGGAAATGAACCACAATGCATTCATTAGTTGGCAGGTTGTGTTAGACATATTGAGTCTAAATATTGGCTGCGTAAATCTCTGCAACCATTTGATGTGTTGGTAACGTTCCTGCAGGTACGTTTGATGCGGTTTGAATTACAAGTGTGAAGTTGAAATGAAGTCGTTTAGGTTTGTTGTTTTGGGGGAACTACATCTCTCTGGACTGCTCTCCAGAAACCTACAGGGGGCCGTATAGGTATGAAATGTGTTTTACACAGGCTATGATCGGGCACCACCAAGATGGCCGCTACCTTAGCTCGCTCGCTAGCTCGGTAACATCCATGCACAGATGTAACGTTGTGACAGATGATGATGAAATAAAATACTATTGGCTATTTGTCGAATGCACGGATTATGCACCTTAAACATGCCGGAAGGTGAGCGGGCTGCAGTTCTACAACACAAGGTCAACACTGGATAGTTGGGGCGTAAACGCTGTTCATCACTGGCTGCTATCTGCACAGTCCTTTCTTCACGGCGCGCCGAGAAGCACAGGATATCTATATGGTGATCTCTTTGGGGGGGGGGGGTTTGTAGCTACACATAAAACCTTGTCTTTGCTATCGCCAGGTCTGTTCGTTGAGATTTGTTTCTGGGGAACCACATCACGAGAACAGATGTGATTCGAAACAACGGCAGAGCGACGGCGCACGGAGGACCACTGGCAAAGTCCTTTGTTCGAGAAGATAATGGTCTGCTCTCGTGTGGCACTTGACTAATTTGAAAGTTGCCCCCCGCCTGCCGTAGTTTCTGGTATGGCGCCCGCGGTGGATCATCTAAGAACAAACAGACAGAAATGGCGACTTCACTTCCTGATCTTCCCCGGCTCCCATATGACACGAACAAAAAATGCCTCTGGGTCATCCAGCCTCATTGTGAAGCCCAGAGAGTTCTGTTTCACATGTGGTTTCCAGTGTTCTGCTTTTGAACACTGACAGTTAACAGGGAGAAAGTGGGAGGTAAGCGCTGAGGGACAAACAAAGCAAAGCAAAGCCTGCTTTTCACCGCGAGCAGAAGGCAAACACTCGCATGGGGAAGGGTGTGGGAGGGTGAAACACAGTTCACGTTGCGCGGATGGGCTCAGGATATTTATAAAGCCCACTAGGCATCACGTCAGGAGAGCTTCGGCTGAAAAAATGTTGCTCCCAGATGGACCGCCTCACCCCCCCCCCCCCCCCCCGATTTTCTGGTTACAGCGCGGCTCCTTGGTGGATTACGCAACAGTGTCGCGGCGCGAGTTAAACTCGAGCTGTGGCTCGCCGTCCGTTTGGCCAGCAGCCGGCCTCGCTCAAGGTGAATCCGATCCGGTCAGGCGGAGGGCGCCGTCCTCTCAGCGCCCTCACAGTTATCAAAGGGTCGGTCAATCCTTCTTTAACGTGCCGTTGCTCTCATCGTGACGAGGGGAGATGTGGGATCCACGGGATTAAAATAGATGAAATATCTGTCATATTTTCTTGGCTTGTGTAAAATAGCTGACAGTTACACTCTCTTGGCACAGAAGGCCTCGATCCATCACAGGGCTATATTACAAAAACAAAAAAAAAAGGCCTCCCAGGCCCTGAATGCTGGTCACGTGACCAAAGTTGGCGGCCTCTGTGAACTACACCTGAACTTAGCTAAATGGAAACAGACCAAA